ACCGGCTTTTTGGGGATTAGGAGTTTGAGGATCGTTGGGGATTCAGGGATTGGGGAGATTGGGGAAGGGGAAGGTAATTGGGCCTCCGGTAACCTCACTCACACGACGAAACACAACGCAAGCGTTGCTTCACGTCGGTTTTCTGTGAGGCCGTGGTATCACTCCGGTCGAGCCGGCCCATTCGTGCCGAAGCATGGCTCACCCAGACTTAAAATTGCTGTGTTGGAGCCGCACTTGACGTTAAAACTAACCTTATGCCATTATTAACAAAGTATATTTACCTTTAGCCAATATCTGCAGCGAGATAATCGCTTTAGCTTCTCCATGGACATTCCTGGCGACTACTGAGTAGGCTCCTGTGTAATCCAGTTTGGCGTGAGGTATTTCAAACCGATACTCTGGTCCATCACCAACTCTCTTGAAATGTGTCGCATCACGGTAATAGTCCGGCTGCGAAAAGTAATAGTATTATGTTACGAAAGAGATAGACAATTATACCTATACTATATAACTAGCTACTTCCGCGCGGTTTCACACGCGCTGCTCAGCTCCTATTGGTCGTAGCGTGATGATTTATAGCCTATAGCCATCCTCAATAAATGCACTATCCAACACAAAAAGAAGTATTCAAATCAGACCTGTAGTTATGGAGATTAGCGCGTTCAAACAAAAAAAACAAACCCTTCCGCTCTATATAAGAGAATAAGATATAAGATAATACCTATATACTGTTGTTTTTATAATTTTTTTGATGGGGTAAATTATCGAGTGACTACTCTCGCTCGGGTAAGGCTAGAGAGAGTGTTAGACTTTTATTGACTAAATGCCACCCTGTTTCTACTCCTACTCTTGAGCCGGAGTCCCGGCAACCCGTCAAGTCCTCCGCGGCTCCGGATCGGTATCAGCCCTATTGGGCCCGTCTTTACTGGTCTGATGGCTCTTTCAGTCACTTTTCTTTGTGTGTTTTATTGTTGACTGTTGAATTTGTTCTGTACGGTTGGCGCAGTGGGTAGGTAACCGGCAAAATGTCGCGGGTTCGATTCCCATGCCGGTCGTGTCGATCTACCGATCAATCGGGCGCAGAGAGAGCGCTTGTGTTTGCGCACACACTTGTGCACTATAATATTTCCTGTATAGTGGACTGTTCTAGTTAGACTTGCCATCATGATCGAAATCGATCGGATGATTTATATGTTATATCATATGGTGTTTCCTATCTACCTACCTACGTAAGAACTACGCTACAGACGCGGAAAGTGAGTTACTGCCACGCTTGTTGAAAGTAGGTACTCATCTACTAAAATGCCTTCAACTGTCTAAAAACGATGAATGTGGTATGTAACCAATACTTTATTTACCGATAACCTATATTTTACCGATTCAGGAAGTAGTAAAAGTAGTAAATTAAGCAAATCTATTAATTCATATCCAAAACAAAACACCAGTTCAAATAATTCCGCTTTTAAAGCCTGTTTCTATCACCCTAGTTACAAAAATAGCTTTGGGCCGTGCACCGCCATCTATTAACAGTTACATCTAACGACTAGATATGTGTGTTATAAACAATTCACCCTCCATCACATAGATGTCGCCATGGCTGGAGTGAAATTTCAACTTTTTAGCATAGCGACATCTCTCAACAACTTATGGCTTGGAACTAACTTTGTATTATTTTTGTAAAACATGTTTTTATATTTAAAAAAGACTTTTTACCATTTCTATTTACTAAAACTGAATGTAAGAAATTGTTTAGCATTGAGTGATATAAGAAATTATTGGTAAAAACATTAGAATTTCTTGAAATAATGAATTCAAGAATGACGATAAAATTGGCCAATGAGCTAAGTTTTGGGCATTTTAAAGTGACTTTATTTAAGCGGAGGGTCAAAAAGGGAATCATATATTATTAGAAAACCATAGTAAGTATAATATAACACACGTTTATCTAATTTAAAGCAATTTAAGTAGACAAATACACAACTTATCTATACAATTTCATTTTTATATAGACTTGGTCTGGATAAAAATGAAATTGTATAGATTTTTATCTAGACTTGATGAAATGGAATTGAATTAAAACGTACCAATTTGCCTCATAATATACCTACATTTGACATATTCTTAGTTATTATGTACTGGTTTATTTTTTGATTTACATACAGCTACATATTATTAAAATTTCTGAGACTACTGAATGCTTATTAACTACACAATTCCTGAAAAGTATTTAAGTGATTTTGTTTGTAGAAGATTTCAGGTTACATATTACATAGGTACATACATAACATCATGCCTTTTATCCCCTAAGGGGTAGGCAGAGGTGCACATTACGCCACTGTACAATGTAACACCCGCTTTTCACTATTTATGTTATGAGTCCCATGTAATAGGGGGTGAGCTTATTGCCATATACCGGGCACAATTCCAGACTCCGTGCTACTAAAGAATTTTTTAAAAACCCGGTAATACTTTGCCCGACCCGGGATTCGAACCCGAGATCCCTTGCCGGCAGTCACACTTGCGATCACTCGGCAAACGAGGCAGTCAGGCTGCGTTGTAATAGTGACTTCTAAACTAGTTTACAATACTACACAACACCAAAATTATTTGGCTTAAAGTGAACGTTAAACAATCAGTCTTCCCAACGCCTGAATCTCCAACAACTCTCAAATTCACTTCAATTCACTTGCAACGCCTCTGGAGTTTCAGGTGTCCATGAGCGACGCCAATTGCTTACCATCAGGTGACCATTCTGCTCGTTTTTTTTTTTTTTTTTTTCATTTTGTTTTTTCATTTTTTTCATTCTGCTCGTTTATCAGCTAAAAAACATTATCTTCGCTCATTTGGTCATTAGGTATTAAACAAAACTGTTACCACATTGTCTGATAAAATCTCTGATAGTTTATTTGGTGGATCGTTTGGCGCATTATTTGTTTCTATATTCCTTAGTTAAGCTAAAATAAACTTAATCGCCAGGAGTGAAATATGCCCTAGAGACGTTTATGTCTTCTGAGCCATTATAGGTATAATTGGACCTACCGTATTTCTGCTGACCAGATGGCAAAAATATGGAAATAGTTTTTAATGTGTAATTACAGCAACTTTCGAATATTGAGCGTCTAAATGTGGTTGGTGGTCGCTAATTCCCAATTAGGATGAAGAACGAGAGGTTCACACCACCGCCATCTGTTGAGCAATTATACGGTAATGCCCAACTACATCTTTGCTCTTTTCGGTTGAGTAAATTAAGTATATTGTACATAATATAAGTAACAGTTAATTTTCAAGACTAAGTGACTGGTCAGTCACATCAGGGCACACGACAGGAGATAGCTATTAAGGGTCATCGTTACCGAAATCGGTAAGGACTATATAACAGTTCCTTTGTACCTTAAGGAAGTCTCTCAACCAGTAGACGTCAGGTTTCGGGTCTCCGATGACTTCACAAGCTATGATGACAGTGTCTCCTTCCCGGGCTTCACTTGACCGCGGCTTTCGAATGAACATTGGTTCCTTTGAATATCTGTTAAAGACAATTAGATGTATGTTAATTTTATTATGCAGATGGTACTAGAAGTACCACAGTTACATGGGAGTTTTGGACAACAGTAAAAGTACGGCCACATTTTCTCATCAGGTACTAGATATAAAAGTATATACATACGTGTTTTTATCTATTCTACAATTGTAAGTTCCAGTAACCTCTATTGTTGAATTTATTGTCATTATGTATGCACGTATATATTTGTATTTTTGTAGGAATGAGTGATGGTGAACAAATGATTGCGAAAATGTTTTCTTTGATGATTTTTGCTATTCAAGCGAATAGCGATAAACATAATTTCAATATGTGACTTTTTCCTAATTATGTCTCGGTTCCAACAAGGGACACAAATTCAAAAACAGGTGTCCATCAGTTTCTTAATAAATAGAACGGAGTTTGAGAGGTAGTTCTCCCATAGTAGCGTCAATGTGTTGTTTGTATTCCAGATACATATAAATAAAGGACTCACGGTTCATCAGGCGCATTGATCACAACCGGTGGCGTTCGCTTCTCTCGAGGCTGGTCTCCTTCAATCACTTCAACCTTCCCCGATGTGGAAGCTCGTCCTACTTCATTGGAAGCTGTGCAGGTGTAAACTCCAGCATCCCTTCCAGTAATAGCTGCTAAAGCCAGTTCTATCTGACCATCACGGTCTAATGTCATGATGGCTCGTCGACTCGGTCGTAAGCGGACTCCATCGCGGTACCAGGTCACTCCAACTGACGGGTAGGCTTCTACAACGGCTGATATTCTGAGTTCTTCGCCTGGAAATTGATTTTATAGATGTTAATTGAAGTAAGGGATTCCTTCTGGAAAAAAGATCATGAAAGAAAATACTTCATGTAAAATTCAGTTCAATTCGGTTTTCAAACCAAATACGTTTAGAATGTTGCCAGGATAAGCAAGTAAAGAATCAGTTTTTAATGTAATTGTCATTATTTGAATTGCCCGATCGATAGATAACTCAGCGTGTCTACGCTCTATCCTCGCTATATCCTCTAGCTCGCGTATATCCAATGTAAAGTAATGGTTTTTAAGAACAGTTTTCTGTGAATATTTGGGTGACCCACTCGGCCAAGTGTAACTTTGAAACAAATAAATTAGATTTTCTATTGTATGTGACGACGTGACGTTTAGACATGGACATTCTGTGGCCGATACGATGCTGTGAAAATAAATGATCGCTATCTTACCTACCTGGTTTTTGATGATGGTCGATGATCCACTGAATGAATGATTTTTGTATGCAACATGCCATTATTTCGTTGCTAAGGTGAGGTAAAAAAAATTGGTTATATTTCGTCATTTCAAAAATGTATTCCTGGATTTTAAAAGGGTGTCTGTAATTAAAGTAGTTGCTTGCAATTATATGGTTGAGAGCTACATTAGTCTCAGTAAACGGTCAGTTAAGGGTAGCTAGATTATTATCTATTGTGTACAATCGAAACAATTATTTTACAAAATATATCGCAGTAATTACTGCACAAGTGTCAGGGTTTCGAGTTCCGTATGAAATAAAGTTTTGGTTATCCACAAATGACTAGATTTCAAAGAAAGTGAAATAAGGAAAAGGGAAAGAAGAGTATATGTGAAATTATATAGATGTAAAAGCATGTCCACAAGGGTTTCATAAAGAAAAATAAAGAAACATACCTTCAGACAGTCTGTACAATGGTTCCAAACCGCAGCAGAACTCAGGAGCAACGTATGCCCTGATGCCTTTGTCCACGACGAGACTGCACCGGCAGCTGACGGCTCCGGAGCTGTTCCTTGCCATGGCCTCGTAAACCCCTCCATCCTCCAGGGTGGTGGGGGCTATCTCCAATGTGTGGAAGTGCTCGTCTTGGTAGTTTGTGCGGCGACCTTGAAATTTTGGAAGTGATATTAATTTTATTGTCGTGTAGAGGATTTAGCACAAATGTGATGATGTTTGTTTGTCGTATGTTATGTACCTCTCTGAAATTACAGATAGAAGTGAATATTGATAAAAAGATGTATGCGTAGGTAGCAGTACAACTATAGAATTTTCGTGACGATAACTTATTTTTGTATATTGCACTTTTACTCGTCAATAATTAAAATCGAGGCGATTTCTTAAAAGTCCAGAGTCCAGAAATTGTGCCTACAATTGGTAGGTAATAGAAATTTGGTATTTCACTGCTATAATTTCAAAGTTGGTTAACATTATACACGGGGGGTCGGGGGTTGACGATCAAACGTAAAATTTAGATAACATCAGTTTTCGATATTTCTCATTCTGTTGGACCTTTTCGGTGCAGTTGTTTTGTGATAACTGACTTAGGGCCAATTTTCCCAAAGCCAGATATATTTTAACTTGAGGAATAACTTTGAATATTTGACAATATACCATACTAAAAACTCTCAAATGTCAATTTTATTCAACAGTTATGAATTCCAAGTCAAAGTCAAAGCATTTATTTCAATTATACCCTAGTTTGGTACTGTTAAAACGTCAACATACACAAAATAAATAATAGTCTGTCAGTCAGTCCGTCAGGGAATCTAGGTGAAGCTGGGTGCTTATTCTAAAATGTAGATTCGGATGGAGAAGAACGAGCAAGAAACTCCATTCGTTACTCTTTTTAAAAAAAGTATGTTCTACAATGTCTCTGATACATATTCCAATACTGTACATATATGTGAGAACAATGCAAAGACACGCTTGACGTATTACACTAATTACAAAATTTACTAAAATAAAATAAAAAATCCATAAAAATAGTGCTTCTATACAAGAAAATGGAAACTCTTTGTTTCAGTAAAGAAAAGCTCGATGCCATAAGGAAACTAGATTGTCTACATTAGAATGAAAGTATTAAACTAATAAATTACCTACTATTGGAATCTAACTACATTTGAGTATTGTCCAGTGGACCCGAACCAACAACATGCTGCCAAGCATTCTTATCTTCAAGATAATCTGTCAGCGTGTAGTAAGCTTGATTACATAATTCGCGTTTAATATAAGTTTTTATATGTTTTAAATTTACTTTCATCGAGATCTAGTATGCTATGTGGTATTTTATTATAGCATTTAATACCTAACCTCATAAAGAATTTCTGTACCTTGGACAGTCAGAATTGCGGTATAGCTAACTTATTTTTGCCTCTAGTATTAAAATTGTGTCTATCGCTTCTTTTTTCAAACAATTGCCTATTTTTCCTTACATACATTATACCTATATGAAAGTATGTATTGAGAGGGACCGTTAAAATATTTATAATAATTAACTGTTGATTGAAAAATTGGACGTAAGATCGAATGTTCAAAATCTCGAATCTCGAAAGTTCAAAATTACGATTTGAGCTCAGTACCTACACATAAATTATCACGACATGAAATCATCATTCATGAAATCATAATATCTCTTATTAACCAAACTTATTAATTCTAATAATTAAACCGAAGGGTATTAAGGCATTCTTAACATTCTTAAATGAATGTGAGGAGGCTGGACAGGAAGCTAGTTCAGTAGAATTTTTAGAATGAAAAATTCGTTATTGCCCCTGAATTGACAACATACATTAGACAAAACGTTTTATAGCACTCCGAGTAGATAATTATGCAGATTAGTTTTATAAATCTAAAGATAAAAATATAATACTAGTATCTTTATAAGTTTTGTTATCGTAATCAGTAAGTTCACAAAAACTCTAAGAGATGGCACTGTTACAAAGATTTGACGAATGAAAACCCTCATATCTTGAATTATGTTATGTATTTAGGTACTATGAGTTTAATCATAAAACAATATTATGTGCCTATCTAGAATTTACTTAGAATTTGTTTGAAAATTCAAAATTACGATTTGACCCCAAACCCATAAATTTTTAGTCTCAAAAAAAATGTATCTAACTGTCCCAAAGATCGGAAAAGGAGGATGCTCCGATGAAAGTAAAAAAAATTATAACTCGAAAACTACACAAAATCGTAGAATATACATGGGGGTGATTTGGATACACCATATAGAATCTAAATTTTACCCTTGAACGTCAACTCCCCAGCCACCCTGTATAAAGAAAACCGATTCAGTTCGAAGCAATAAATCATTTTGGGACCGCCCCTAATGGTTTTAGGAGTGAGACAAAAGCCGTAAAAGCGAAACGTTTGCCCGTATTCCATTTGCCCCTCTGAAAAACAGATGTGAGGGCGGGGTTTTCAGGCCGTGCCAACCGATCACGGTCTGTGAACACTGTGGCATGAGGATTGAAATTACGAAAATCCAACGTGAAGTCCAGGTAATCAAGATTTTATTGTTTTCTTGAGTTTGTTTATGGTTGTATTAACTGCATACTTAGTTTTGACTTTCGATTAAGGCGTTCTATAAATGTATAATGTCAACCGATTTCAGGATTTTGTTTCAAGTTTCAGCCCGCGAAAAATTTATGTAGGGGCGGGGTTTTCAAGCGTGCCAACAGCTCAGGTTCTCGGGTGTAAGGTGTTGTGGTGTGGGGATTATATTTACCATTACCAAGTTTGTGGTATGAGGGAACTGAAAATTGTACGCAGTAGGCGATTGAAGTTTCTACTTTCGCAAAATTCTCAATCAAATTAGGGTATTTGAGTTTGACCATGGGATTACGTACGAATTATCAGATTCAGTAATTTGATTCTAGGTGAGTTTGGGTATTTAGTTAGTTTTCTTGTTTGTATTATATTAAGTGGTCGTAAATACGTGGCGAGTTATGCTCGCAGTGTACGTGAAGACAAGTAAGACAAACGAGTTATTAGATTTTACAATTTCACAAAAATAGTTGTACTAGATGGAAGCTGGGATAACGGGATTGTTTCTATAGCAATAGTTGATTGACAAAAATCGACCAAAAATGTATAAAGTGGACAGACAATCGAAGGTCGTTGGATGCCGCTGGATGCAGATCGTTTCCAACCAGCCTTATTGACGGCCGTTTTGTATTACGGTAGTCGTGTTTATGTGGCTATTGAGATGGTGAAGATGGTGAAGATGGTCTATAATGATAATGGTATTAAAACACTACTTACTATCAAATACTAGTAATTCTCCATCTTTGAACCACGTGAGTGTCGGTGGAGGGTTGCCGACGACCTGACAAGTCAATCGGACCGGGTAGGTCGCTTGGACCCGCCGGTCTCGAAGCCGCATTGTGAACTGTGGTGGGTAGTCTCCCTCGGCATCTTGTGACCGCTCTCTGGAAACAGTTTAAGTTTGTGTTATTATTTGTGCATCTGCTTCTCTTGCATGAGGTTGCAGATTCGCAACCTACCAACAGCGAATACCAACGTGAGGTTTTCTGAGTTGTATGTAGGTATGTACTTTCTAAGATTATTGAGATACCACTGACAAACGATGAAGGAATACATTATTGAAAACAGAGCTCATAATTTCTAATTATAAGTTTGAAATCGCCAAGCCGAATTGAGCAAGCGTGGTGATTAATGCTCACCACAGAAGGACTTGTTCTCGGTATATTTCAAGATCGACGACGATTTACGATCATCCCCTATGACACCCGACTTGTAACGAATTGGTAAAAAGTCTGTAGCCGTATATCGGACACAATAATAATACCTAGATACTTTGTCCAACTTGCGAATCGAATCCGAAAGCTTTTGCTAGTGCACTTGCGACCATACGACCAATGATGCAGCGGAAACTTAAAAAATGTAACAGAAAAAGTCAGTAAACATCCTCGAAGGTATGAAAAAATGCTACAGAAATATACCACATACACACACGCATATAAATATATCATAGTATAACATAGTGGGTGGCACTCATACAGGCAACAGGTTAGCCACTCACCGACGAATCAGCTCACTTGACTCACTGAGCCATGTAGGTACTTTATTGCTCTTTTTGTCAAACTTGCCTATACTGCGCAACGGAAAATATCTTACGTACAGATTGCAAATAAGCCTCGATGCTTAAATATTAGATGCAATAATTTTACTACATATATTACTAATATTACAAATGCGAAATTAAGTTTTTATGTTTCTCACTCATTCACGTCAAAAGGGATCAGGATGAAAGGAACAAGAATAAGAAAGAGAAATAACTCATAGGCTACCTATTTTCTCACGAGAACGAGGGCGAAGTAGCAAGCAAAAGTTAGTCAATAACATTTATGCACTCATTATAACCGATTATTTAGTTTGTATAGATAGCATTGTGTGATGCATAAAAGTCTGCTTTCAAATCACATATGTGTTTTTATTTATTTATTTCATAATGTATGTACCTACACACAAACAGCACAGAGGACAACACATATATAAAATAAGAGTACATATGTGCTACTTATTCCTGTTAGAATTTGTTCCAGTAGACCTGAGACAAGAAATGTAATTAAAACATAAGACACAGTGTGTAACAGAAGAGAAAAAAATACGGTAGGTAACAAATACCAAAATAACAAAAAGTACCTATATAAAAAACTAAAACAAAATAATTACTATATTTTAAATAAATATCACTTAATACATAACAATAACAATATTCTTTTTATAATTATTTGAAATGTATAACGCATTGGTTTTATGACTGTAATGTTATACTATTTAATTAAAATAAATAAATAATAACATTAAATAAAATACACATATAAATAAACGTATCTGTACTCATGAAAGGTAATGGAAGGACCGTTAGGTACCTCTATTCATTAGTTTTTTAAAGAGAGCGATAGATTTAGCGTCACGAATGAATTCTATGGGGTATGGAGAGATCCTTTAATACACTAACTTAACGTCAATAATATATATATATAAATATATAATTCATACAATTCTATATATATAAATAAATAAATTATCAATATATGATTACATAAATTATTAATTTATTATATAAATAAATAAATAAATATATTTGAACTAGCTACTACCAGTGGCTTCGCCCACTTTCATGCGAAATAAAAAATAAACTATGCGATATTCCAGACCACAATCTGGCCTCTGTTCCAAATGTCATCGCAATCCATTCAGTCGTTTTGACGTGTAGACAAAACACAAACAAACGTACTAACTATCGCATTTATTATATTAGTAGGACGTCATTAGGAAAGGAGTGATGATAAATATGAGCAAGTAACGTACATCAAGAGATTGTGTCAAAAATTGATCTTCACATTCTTTATCGCTCAGTAGACGCGTTGTACGTTGATACGTCAAATATCAATAAATAAATACAGGTGTACTTTAGCAAATTGTCTTGTCCATATTATTAATGTTTGATAAAGAGGTACTAGACCGTTCTCCAAAGTATTGTAACTTTATCAAAGAACATTAACTGTCGGCGCGGCAGCGTCTTTTGTTAGTTATTATTTTCATTTTATAATATTTGCGCAAGTTGAGGCACAAATGCCATTTTAATGAACACATTTCAGTACATATTTTTTGTTTATATGTAATATTGTACAATTATTAATCCACTAAAATGAGTGGCAATTTGCAAAATGCGAAAAATCTACAAAGTACCTACCTAAGCATTTAAGCAGTGTTCGCTAGCGTTATTGAAAATATAAATAAGAAGAATATCTCACCTCTTAAGTTTAGCATCGGCTTCCCATATCAGTCTGTCGGTAACAACTGCCAGCCTGGCGTACGTGGACGCCCTGCCGTGGACATTAGACGCCTCGCAGCTGTACCGCGCCTCATCCTCGATGCAAATGTCCTTGATGGTCAACGAACAGTCTTGACCGTTGTACAACGTCGTCACCCGGCTCTCTTCCTCGATCTCGTGCCCATTCTTCATCCAAACTATTTCAGGCAAAGGTTTGCCCTTAACACTACAGCTTAGGTTCGCCGTCTCGCCAGCTAACACCTTCAGTTGTCCTGGCAAAATGTCCACGAACTCCGGCCTGTCACCAGCCAGGCCGATGCCAACCGGAGCGGAAGTCTGAACAGACTCTCCCCACCCGTATCTGTTCTTAGGCGTTACTCGGAAGTGGTATTCCTCTCCTTGCTTCAAGTTGAAGGCATCGAAAGAGTTCAGAGGTGTGATTCCAAGTTCAACCCAGCGCGCGCCACCTTCTTTTCCCAGAAGCCAGCTTTCTATCTTGTAGGCGAGGACTGGAGCGGTGTCGCGAGGGTCAGCTTTCGGCCAGGCGAGAGAGACCCAGTTGTTGCCTCCGTCCACGACGCTCGGCTCACCCGGGATGCGGTCCGGCACGGCTAAAATGAGAACCGATGCGGCACTGACCTTAAAGAATACTTGACGTGATGCCAGCCGACACTGCCAGATGACTTATTGTATTGATTTGAGATTGATCGAGCCAGAATTGGCAGGTTAGGCTAATTATAAGTGATTGGTATGATCTAATGATTTGTTGCTGAGTGCCTACAACTGCCGTCATTACATCAATGCTTTTTTTATTTCTGATGTGTCAGTTGCTGATCGTCGATTCAATTTAATTACATAACACTGTGATCATTTTTACATCACAAAAATATAAAAATTATAATTAATAAAACATGTACAAAGATCAAATCTCACTGTTAATTCTATTTGAAGTTTTATTAGTACTTGGGACGGCCAAGCAATTAGAGAAAAATGCCAAAATGTTTTGTTCTTGTTTTGTTCACCGACCACTAATTAAAAACCCAGAATATAGTCTGTTTTTTACTACAATGACAAATTATTGATATAAATAGGATAAGTGTCTCGCAACCGTTATCAGTTTACTAGGGCTAGTCTAGATATCGAAACGAATCCACTTGAAAGAATATATTATAATTTTATTATTATGTACTGTTATTTACTTTATAAACATTTAATTATAAATCACTTACATTTATACTTCCTCTCAGCGACTGACACGGCTGCATCATCCATGGGATACGTCCAGTCAGATATTAAGTTATCCGATGATGCTCGCTGTCTCACCTAAAAAAGTATATTAATATCTTTATTTTAATGAAATGTTTGGACTTGGTGATAGAGAGTGAATGTCAAAAACAAGAAGTCTACGATTCCTTGTTTGTGTTTTAAGTTTAGATTATCGATTGTCTAACTTTTGTTACCGCTCGATGTATGTTAGAAGACTTGTTCATATTTCATTCACACCCTTAGTATGTTGTTATACAAATGAGCATTGTGCACGTCTTTCTACCTCTTGAAAGGCATGGCGTTAGTCATGTTAAGCAGGGGCATAGCTACCGCCGTATCTACCATATCAATTATACGTAGCCCTCGTACTACCCAAATGTGCGTAAACAAAAATATATAAAATTCTTCCCAGTGTTTTTGTTTTTGTTTTTCCTATAATTCATTTTAATCTTAAGCTGTATATATTTAATTTAGTAATATTTAGTTTTAATTTTACCATAGACTAGTCTCTATTTATTTTGTGTTCGGAAATCACCAATTACAATCTTCCCAGTGTTACATATTTTATTTCAATAATCACAAAAGTATCACAAAAGTATATATCAAAATAAGCGATTTTTTCCCGCCTAAAGCATGATTCAAAGGTTGGCACAAATTTTAGAAAAACTACGTTATCAATGTTATCATAGTCCGATAATTTGGGCACAGGGACTTGCTTGGAAATTTTAGTATTTTAAATTTTTTACCCTTCATCTCTAGGGACTAATTTATGTTGTACCTAATTTGCACGAAAAACATATGCGGATATAATAATAGCAAGGCCAGTTGCGGAGTACCCTTAAATGACGTGCTTGTAAGACAAACATGACGAAAATAAAATAATTACGTTTCAAAAGTAAGTATATCCTTATGAGACAAGGGCGTGTTTTTCTGTCTAATCCTACCGGTGGCACTGGTGTACTTACCACAACAGTAACAAAGGCCCGGTCGCAGCCATACGCGTTCCTCGCGAGTATGCAGTAGGTACCAGCGTCAGACACCACAGACCGCTTCAGCGTAAATTTCACGTAGTCATCTGACGTCATCTTACACACGCGCTGGCTCGTCGTGATGTCTCGAATGCCTTTCATGAAGACCACTGCAAAATAGTTGGTTTGGCTATTATGTATTTTTGTATTTCGATCCTCCACTTACGTATCCTCCACTTACAAATCCTTTAGTATATTATGTAAAATCATGGTAAAGACACCTACTCAAATTTTAATATTAATGCTGTATAAATCTATAATGATAGAATTGTTCAATATTAGACAGTCACGCAAACAGTATCATTACCTAATTAGAATTACCTAATTGATACATAATTTCAGAAGCTAGTATGAGTTTCTTTAACTTTTAACGAGATCGAAACATTACCGCGATTAACACTCTTAATGGTTGGTTCATTCGTGCAGGCCAATCGGAGCGTCGAAGCCAGTCAACTATCAATCCTTATACGGATCAATGACTACATTCTAAGGCTCCATTCACACATCACTGGCACTTGCACAGAGTCGAAGCGTCATAACGCGTCCTGTTTTCTAATTACAACGTATCGTGCCGCACATCGACGCTTGGCCCCATTAAGCATGCAAAAAATCGGTTCACATATGGCGGAGTAATCGGAGAACAAACAAAGAAAACAATCATCCGAACATAGTACCTCCTCCTTTTTTTGAAGTCAGTAAAATATGTACCGTAATAATGGGAGAAAACAGGTGACTATACGTATAGTTTTAAATTGTGACTCGCCGCTACAGCTCGTTACAACTCGGTCAGTGTACGTTAAACTTCAAGATCTTTTGTGGAGATACATAACTATTTTAATGGCAATACTGTCCTTTTGGTAAATTGGTAGCGAGTACGACTGCTGAAAGGCTTTGATTCCCATCTCAGCCAAAGTATTGGTATTGTTGGGTTTATTAAAGTGTAGTTTATTCATTATAACAGCGTAGTCAAGTGTGGGAGAGTTGGGTGACCCAGGCTTCACGAATGGACTGACTCGGAGTGATACCACGGCCTCACAGAAAACCTACGTGAAACAACGCTTGCGTAGTGTTTTGTTGTGTCAGTGATGTTACGTTACGATCACCTGACGGATCCCCGTCCGCTCGTTTACCGGTTTATCCAATAAAAACTTTTTTACGGCAATTGTGTTTATAAGAAAAACTCTTTTAAAGTTAGACTAAAGCCACATGCATGCACTTCAGGTACCAGAGAATCCAGTGGTAATGTTGTCAGTACCATGAAGTATCATCATAAACAACAAAATGCACTTCCCTTTCATTCCAAAAATCTTTATCGGACACTAATTAAATACTGCACAACACCCTTTACAAAATACACTGAATGAAAACCGAACCTTCATTCAAAGTAACACGCACCATTTTCGCTTGTATGCCTTTATAGGTAGTATAGGTATGGTTTCGTCTGGTATTTTGGTTCCCCTCCCTGAGGGGTAACGCCAGAACCCTAATATTGAATCCGTCTGCACGTCTATTACAGGCATCAAGCTACATCAACCAGTCTTTAACCTTATCAATTTGCATTAAAGTTGAAATTCAATCAATGATTTTAGGTTCACCTTGATGTGCTTGTGCCCGTATTTGTTCGACGTCGTTATTATTATGATTGAGTCGGCTTTTGCAAATACGTTGTGTTAATTCGTTTGAAGTACCGTTTAATGTAAAATGAATCATAATTCTGTGTTCTGTAAAGTTTGTTTGATATTCGTGCTGTATGATTTAAGTTTCATATCAATAAACAATATCAATGATACATATAGACGCAACCATTGAAACATATCTTTCCAACCGTACTTATTTGTCTGCGTGCACTGTACCTAATAGGGTGGATGACTAATTTTTATTTTATTGTCAGTCTGGTAGATCATTTAAAAACATTAGACACATATTTTTTTTTTTATGGAAACGAATAGTTTCGAAGATATATTGGTTTGAAATGACGTTTTAGCTGCCACTCCTAAACTTTAACTGTTATTTTATTATACAACAAAATAAAAAATACGTGTCTAATATTTTTTCATTACCTAACTGACGGACTAATTACATTTTTAATTTGTATGCCCTGTCATCATCCCTATTGTAGTAGCGTGAATTTAAATACTTACCTATTTAGGTATCTGACCCTGTATTTTGTTTTTATAAATCTGTTATACTATTATTTGTGATTATATCAATCTCTCAATATAAAAATGTGTACCTGTATGAAAATGGGAAATGTAAATTGAATAAGATCATCAACAAAAATATTTACTATACCTTTAGGCTTCGGCTCGCCCTGGACTCTGAAGGAAATATTGATGTCTTCACCCACAGAAATGAGAATATCCTTGTCTGGTCTTCCAGCGATGATAGCAGGTTTGCCTTCCACTTCATTCGCCACCACAGTAATCGCAGCATTCATGTCAACATTGCCATGCGTACTCCAAGCCCTGCAGGTGTACATCCCTGACTCCTTCTCCGTCACATCGGATAATGCTAGTGTATATAAACCTTGTTCAACGAATGTCCTCGCGTTTCTGTACACTTCAGTGACACATCGACCTTCTCTCAGCCATTCTACCCTGGTAGGACAGCCTCTGATCTCCACCTGGAGCCCTATAGTGCCACCTTTCGCGACCTTATAGTCGGATAGTACGTTGGTAAAGTGAGGACGCCGCGACTCCATCGCTTGCCGGTTGAAACGGGAGCGTTCTATTGTGGCGATGTTTGGACTTAAACGACTTTCTTTTCCTGTGAACAAGTATTTGAAACATATTTAAATTAAAATGTTGTATAGATAAGTAATATACAAAAAAATATACTATTTCCAACGCTTTCCTTTAGCAAAATGTATATGGTATGTCTATAAGTACTTATAGGTACATAAATACCGAGTACTGCGCACCCTCTTTTCATTACGACCTTGGCAATGAAGCGTCGTTCATCAAACAAAACTCAAATAATATCAAGAGTAACGTTCAATTCAGATTGTACAGTAAATATGAAAAAACAATAATAAAAACACTAATGTTACCTTATTAAATACATTTTAAGTCCAGATTAAAGTTTTAAACGAATAAATTTACGCGATCGTTATAAAATATTTTACAGAACTTTCGACACACGTATTGCAAGGGCCGCGCTTCCCGCTAGACTAGACAGGCGGGAAAGGGTTTCGCGGGCCTGGGGCAGCGGTTGCACCCAGATAGACTACCCCAGACAGAGCTCCGCCATTGGACGCTGATTGACAAAAAGCGAACGCATTTAATCGACTCACCGGTAAAGTTAACAACATGCGTTATTTGATCACTCCACACTGAGTTCTCAGCTTTGCAGGTGTATTTTCCACTGTCTTCTGGTGTTGGTGAGCTGATCGCCAACCTACAGACTCCATCAGCTAAGTAGTAAGCCTGGTATCTCTCGTTAGTGGATACTGGTCTATCATCCTTCAGCCAAGTAATTGTGGGAAGAGGTTGACCGCGAATTCGACATTCCAGTACTAATTCGTTTTCAGCAAGATGGTAAGTGTCTGTTGAAAAAAAAATTAACATGAAAAAATATTTAGATTTCTACTTTAACATATTGTTAAACTGCTTTTCTGGTAAATTTCCTTAAATGTAGGTATAAACCCCACAACGCTCGATAACTATTTAAAGTGTATAAATAAATATCTTTATAAAAACCTACAACCCAACTTAATAGTTTACAAAACGTTCGAAAGAACAATCAACTTTGGTATTAGTACAAAACATAGAAAGTACAAAATTATTTGCCCAAGTTCACTGTATTCAAGGTCACCCTATGAATCAAAGTCTGCAGACTCGCTAATTGAGTGCCCTATAAGTATACAAATATCGAGAAGGGGAGATTTACCGCTCGCTACCCTACAACGTAATAAACTAACAAGCTACGCCATCTATGAAATATCACTAGAACTGTTTGCTGAGTTACATTGTCGCTCTATTAGTAAACTCTCAATAGATGGTGACGCCTGTGTACTTTATTGTGAGTTCATATTTTCATTAAAAATGTAAAAAACTATTCAAAGTGTTGAGTTTCTTAAATCTAATTTCTTACAAAATTGGCTTTGTTTTCGGTTGCACGGAGACAGAAATGAAGCTCTCGTCTTTACATAATTATAAGGAACTCATAGCGTTCAAATGATGTTTTTGTTAACTGTCTAATCCTTCCTGGCAATAAAAGGTAAGATTTTCTGTACAATATTTTTCATTGTAATATAGACTTGAAGAATCACTTAGAGAAAAGGGGTTCTGAATGAGTCACACGAGGCTATAAGGCTTATAAGTAAACCCTACAATGGATAACGAACGCAAACTTTATGTTAGTCGTGACTTAAATACTCAAGCCAATTTATCGTATTTATTTATGAAACTTAAATGAATGTCATATCATTTCTCCCTATTATAAAAGTGTTAAGCAGATGTACACATATTCAAGGCAATGTTTAGTTTTCTCCGTTAAGTTATGAGTATTATCTTAGGTCAGGTCTTTTATGCTCCAAAGGGGTAGGCAGGACCACATAGTTATAAACTCTCACTGATTTTATTCGCCAATTATATTCAGTTTCATTTTAATAAGTATTGTAAAAAAATAACAAGGTTAAGTTTTAGTTACGGATTAGTTTTTTTTAATGAAATAGTAGTTTAAAAATATTAAATAAGCTTAACCCTCTGCAACTGACGTGGTTAAATTGTTACAATTCAACTGAGGTGTATATTATACCAGACACCATTTCAACCGCAAATATTTTTGTAGAATTAAGGTATAGCGAGCACTATACAGTAAGGTACTCGCAGCAGTGATGCTCGTATTTGAAAAATGACGGTATAACACGTGATTTTGTATTTCGCGGTGTCTGTGGGACTACACGTCAGCTGCAGACGGTTAAAAAAATCTTATTAATACATTGACTGTCTGGTGAAAATTAACATTATTGTACTCGACATTTTACGCATATATCTCAAATACGTTAAAATAATAGCAGTCTCTGCTTCAAGTCAGTGGAGACTAGAGGCCCGTCACAGGTTTGCACGGGTGCTATCTTACACATATCCACGATAGTTTTATATATAGTTCTTTGGTAAGGAGTATCTTAGAATACTGTGCGCCGGTATGGTCATCAATATAGTATAGCGTCCATACGGATGAGATACGTCCATAGAGGCAATCCAGAGACATAGAAGATGAATGAGCGATCTGTGCGTTCTCCTTGAGTGTTTAATATTCTTACTAGCAATAATAATGTCTCAGAAAACAATCCTCTATATAGAATGTGTAAAAACTATAATTTTATTTGCGCTCAAGTGAATATAGTTTATGACAAACTCAGTGCGATTAAAAAAATTCTTTTGCGTCACTGTAAAACTTAATGAGCATGATACATAGGTGTCGTTACACCGTTGCTTTAGACTTGTTGATCACTCATTCAACTGTTCCCTTTTTCCCCTTTTGATTAACTTTTTAGTACTTAAATCCTAGTTTTCATGAATAGAATTTAATTTTGTACAGAAAAGCGAATTAGCATTTTGGAATTGTTTGTGTAATTTAATATGAGTAGGTTATGTACAGCTGTAACTGGATTTCAGATTCACTTACTATATCTATTTAAGATTATTGTGTACGATTTCAATCTGTCGTCTGTTTCTGTACTTATATAAAATAAATAAATAAATATTGTTTTCATTTGTTGTTTGTTTGAAAAAATGTGGCGTTTTAAGATATTGTTGAAGTTTAACTAATGTCAATTACATTAAATAAAGTTAATCTACAATCATCTATCTACACAGTTAATTAAAAACCTTTGTAGTACATATGTATACTCACCACGAATAGATCTTGTAAACGTTGGCGGTATAGGGGAAGCTTCGAAGCTGGGGTATACCTTCAGATTAGCGGCGGTGTTGACTGATCCATTCTCATTCTCTACATTGCAGCTGTACTCAGCAGAATCACTTACAACTGCATTCAACACTTCTAGAGTGATTAACCCATCAATGAACTTTGTCCTATACTTTAATTTATTGTCCAATAGGACCCCATTTCTGTACCAAGTGATTTTAGGATCACTTGAGGACAAAACACTGCATGTCAATTTTACTCTCGAACCTTCGACGGCAGTACGATCAGTAAGGTACGTAGAAAAGACCGGTTTTCTCTTCAGATCCCTGGAGAGGCTAGAACGCTTCTCCGATATTAAACTCCTAGCTTCGCTTAGAGCCTTAGATCTGTGACGGTCTACTCGTCTCTCAGATTCACCTCTATCAAACCTCTCCCGTCTTTCAGACTCACTCCTTTCAGGCAATGGTGGGACGGACGATCGCAACTGTGAATCCAAAATTATAGTTTGGGCTTTGTATATTGTTGCTGTTTTACCCAAACTTTCTCTTTCTGAGAACCGTTCGTGCTCAAACGTTTTCTCTCTGTAGCCAGATGGTCGGATAAATTCCATCGTGTAATCTTTATGGTTGTGATCAACAAACTTGGCCCGGTCTTGAGATCTCTCCTTTGTTGGTTCGTAGTGATATTCTTTTATGTAATGATCCTCGTCGGTTCCTCGCTTTACAGAAATGTCCCCGTTCCTTGGTCTCGATTTCGATGCAGCTTCAAGTTCTGATGTTGATGGCTTCTGTTTAGTGTCAATTAAATCTTTCTCTATTTCTCGTCGTCTCTCTTCTCGTATTCTTCTTTCTGTTTCTCTTATTTCTTGTTCACGTTTTTCAAGTTCTTCCTGTTCTTTTGCGATTCGAAGCTTTTCTTCATCTTTCCTCTTTCTAGCAGTTTCTTTTCTAGCCTTTTCAGTTTCCTCGGCTTCTTGTTTGAGGCGTGCATCTTCATCTTCTCTTTTCTTTTTAGCTATCCTCTTCTTTTCCAATCTAGCTTTATTTTCATCATCCCGTATTTTTTGCTCTTCATTTTCTTTTTCTAGTTTCTCTATTCTTTTCTTTTCCCTCTCTCTTTTTATCTCTTCTTCATGCTTGGATATTTCCTCTTTTGCTTTTGCTTCTAGTATTGCTTTTTCTTTTAATCGTTCTTCTTCTTCTTCGCGTTTTCGTTCTTTTTCTTCTTTTTCTTTTTGAGCCTTGGCCTCTTGTTCTTGCTTTTCCTTCTCTTCTTGTTTACGTTTCTTTTCAGCAGCTCTTTGTAGTTTTTCAGATTTGGTTTTAGTTTGAAGTTTCTCTTCTTTTTCTAATTTCTCTTTACGTTTCTTTTCATCTTCTAATTTCTTATTTTCTTCCTTTTCTTTCTTTTCTGTTTCGATCTTTGTTCTTTCATCTTCTTCTTTACATTTTTTATCAGCTTCCATTTTTATCAGCTTTGATTTATCATCCTCTTCTTTTCGTTTCTTTTCCACTTTCTTTTGCTTCGTTTCTTCGTCTTTGAGTTTGGATTGAGCTTCTAGTTTTGTATTTTGTTCCTCTTCTATTCGTTTCTTTTCTGCTTCCCGTAATACTGTATCCTCTTTCTGTTTCTTTTCAGCTTCTAATTTTGCCTTTTCCTCTGCCTCCTTTTGTTTCTGTTCAGCCTCAAGTTTAGCTTTCTCTTCCTCCTTTCGTTTCTTCTCTGCTTTCTTTTGTTTCTTTTCTTCATCTTTGCGTTTATTTTCGGCTTCTAGTTTTGCATTTTCTTCCTCTTCTTTGCGTTTCTTTTCTGCTTCCAGTAATGCTGTATCCCCTTTCTGTTTCTTTTCAGATTCTAGTTTTGCATTTTCTTTCTCTTCTTTGCGTTTCTTTTCAGCTTCTCGTTTAGCTTTCTCTTCATTCTTTTGTTTCTGTTCGGCTTCTAGTTTAGTTTTTTCTTCCTCTTTTCGTTTCTTTTCTGCTTTTTCTTCTTGCTCTTTCTGTTTAGCTTCAAGTTTAACCTTTTCTTCGTCCTTTCGTTTCTTTTCTGCTTTTTCTTCTTCCTCTTTCTGTTTCTGTTCAGCTTCAAGTTTAACCTTTTCTTCGTCCTTTCGTTTCTTTTCTGCTTTTTCTTCTTCCTCTTTCTGTTTCTGTTCAGCTTCAAGTTTAACCTTTTCTTCGTCCTTTCGTTTCTTTTCTGCTTTTTCTTCTTCCTCTTTCTGTTTCTGTTCAGCTTCAAGTTTAACCTTTTCTTCGTCCTTTCGTTTCTTTTCTGCTTTTTCTTCTTCCTCTTTCTGTTTCTGTTCAGCTTCAAGTTTAACCTTTTCTTCGTCCTTTCGTTTCTTTTCTGCTTTTTCTTCTTCCTCTTTCTGTTTCTGTTCAGCTTCAAGTTTAACCTTTTCTTCGTCCTTTCGTTTCTTTTCTGCTTTTTCTTCTTCCTCTTTCTGTTTCTGTTCAGCTTCAAGTTTAACCTTTTCTTCGTCCTTTCGTTTCTTTTCTGCTTTTTCTTCTTCCTCTTTCTGTTTCTGTTCAGCTTCAAGTTTAACCTTTTCTTCGTCCTTTCGTTTCTTTTCTGCTTTTTCTTCTTCCTCTTTCTGTTTCTGTTCAGCTTCAAGTTTAACCTTTTCTTCGTCCTTTCGTTTCTTTTCTGCTTTTTCTTCTTCCTCTCTCTGTTTCTGTTCAGCTTCAAGTTTAACCTTTTCTACGTCTTTTCGTTTCTTTTCCGCTTTTTCTTCTTCCTCCTTCTGTTTCTGTTCAGCTTCTAGTGTAGCTGTCTCTTCCTCTTTTCGTTTCTTTTCAGCTTTCTTTTGTTTCTTTTCTTCATCTTTTCGTTTATTTTCTGTATCTAGTTTTGCCTTTTCTTCTTCTTCTTTACGTTTCTTTTCAGCTTCAAGTTTAGCTCTTTCCTCTTCCTCCTTGCGTTTTTTCTCATCGTTTAGTTTTGCGTTTTCTTCTTCTTCTTTGCGTTTATTTTCAGCTTCTACTTTTGCCTTTTCCTCTTCATCTTTACGGTTCTTTTCAGCTTCAAGTTTGGCTTTTTCCTCTCCGTCCTTGCGTTTGTTCTCAGCTTCTAGTTTCGCGTTTTCTTCATGTTCTTTGCGTTTGTTTTCTGCTTCTCGTATTGCTTTTTCTTCTTCCTCTTTCTGTTTCTGTTTCTGTTCAGCTTCTAGTTTAGCTTTCTCTTCCTCTTTCCGTTTCTTTTCAGCTTTCTTTTGCTTCTTTTCTTCATCTTTGCGTTTAATTTCTGCATCTAGTTTTGCCCTTTCTTCTTCCTCCTCTTTACGTTTCTTTTCAGCTTCAAGTTTTGCTCTCTCCTCTTCCTCTTTACGTTTGTTATCAACTTCTAGTTTTGCGTTTTCTTCCTGTTCTTTGCGTTTGTTTTCAGCTTCTAGTTTTGCTTTTTCTTCTTCCTCCTTGTGTTTCTGTTCAGCTTCCAGTTTAGCTTTCTCTTCTTTTTGTTTCTTTTCATCTTTCTTTTGCTTCTTTTCTTCGTCTTTGCGTTTATTTTCTGCATCTAATTTTTCCCTTTCTTCTTCCTCCTCTTTAAGTTTCTTTTCAGCTTCAAGTTTGGCTCTTTCCTCTTCCTCCTTACGTTTGTTCTCAGCTTCTAGTTTTGCGTTAACTTCCTTTTCTTTGCGTTTGTTTTCAACTTCTAATTTTACTTTTTCTTCTTCCTCCTTCTGTTTCTGTTCAGCTTCCAGTTTAGTCTTTTCTTCGTCATTTCGTTTCTCCTCTGCTTTCTGTTGTTTCTTTTCTTCATCTTTACGTTTATTGTCTGCTTCTAGTTTTGCCTTTTCCTCCTCCTCCTTAAGTTTATTCTTAGCTTCTGGTTTCGCTGTTTCTTCTGCCTCTTTGCGTTTATTTTCTGTTTCTAGTTTGGCCTCTTTTTCTCCCTCTTTGCGTTTATTTTCTGTTTCTACTTTTGCCCCGTCTTCCTCTTCTTTGTGTTTATTTTCAGCTTCCAATTTTAATTTTTTCTCTTGTTCTTCCAGTTGATTGTCAGTTTTCAGTTTAGTTTTCTCTTCGTCCTTTCGTTTCTTTTCCGCTTTCTTTTGTTTCTTTTCATCATCCTTGCTTTGAATTTCAGCTTCGAGTTTTGCCTTTCCCTCTTCCTCTTTGCGGTTATTCTCAGCGTCTACTTTCGCTCTTCCTTCCTCTTTTCCGTGTTTCTTTTCACTCTCTAGTTTTGACATTTCTTCTTGCTCTTTGAATTGAGTTTCAGCTGTTAGTTTAATGTTTTCCTCTTCCTCCTTCAGTTTCTTGTCAGCTTCTAACTTCGCCTGTTTATCATCTTCTATACGTTTGTTTTCCGCTCTCTCTTGAACCTTTTCTTCCTCTTTTCGTTTCTTTTCCTCTTCTAGTTTTGATATTCTTTCTTCTGCTTCATCCTTGCGTTTCTTTTCAGCTTCTAATTGAGATTTTTCTTCTTTATGTGTCCTTTCCGCTTCTAGATTTGTCTTTTCTTCTTCTTCTTTGCGTCTCATTTCATCATCTTTGAGTTCAGTTTCACCTTCAAGTTTAGTTTTTTCTTCCTCTTTGCTTTTCTTTTCTTCTTCTATTTTTGTTTTGTCTACTTTCTGTTCTTCTTCTTTATCACTTTGTTTTTTATCTACTTTCTTTTGTTTTTTCTCTTCCTCCTTTTGTTTCTTTTCTGCTTCAAGTGTTGATTGTTCTTCTACCTCATCTTTAGCTTTCTTTTCTATTTCTAATTTTCTCTTGCTTTGTAATTCTTCTTCGTCCTTTTGTCCCCTTTCTGCCTCTAATTTTTCTTCGTCTTTTTCTTGTCTTTTATCTGCTTCCACTTTGAATTTCGCTTCCTCTTCATATTTTGCCTCAGCTTCTTGTTTTTCTTTTATTTTATGTTCTTCGTTACTGTCAGCCCCTAATCTTAATTTTTCTTCTTCATCTTTTTGTTTGTCCTCTTTTTCGAACTTTGCAGCTTGTTCCTTTTCGACTTCGACTTTTAGAGTTTTATCCTCTTGTTTCTTTTGTTTTTCCAATGTTTCTTCGTTTTTGCGTGTCTTTTCCTTCTCTAATTTTACTGCTATTTTTTCCTGTTCCTGCTTTTCAGACTCTAATTTTAGTTTTTCTTCTTCTCCTTCAGTTTTCGTTTCCTTTTCTTGTTTATTTTGTTCTTTAAGTTTTATACTGTCTTCTTTTTCTGTGCGTTTTGTTTCAGCTTTTTCCGTTTTCTTTTGTTTCTTTTCAGCGTCGAACATATTATTTTCGTCGGTTTCGTCATCTCTTAGTTTCTTCACAGTTTCTAGTTTCGCACTTTGGTCTTCCTCTTCTAATTTTGATGTTAATTCTTCAAATTGTTTCTTTTCCTCTTCCTCGTGTTGTTTGTTAACTTCCTTTTGTTCTTTTTCTAGTTTGAGTTTGTCATCTTTATCTTTTTGTTTGTTTTCCGCATCCGTGTTTGCTTTATCTTCCTCTGTCTTGTCTACATTGAATGCATGACATTCGTCTGTTACTTCTTGATTTTTTACGTCTGTTTGTTTCTCTGCTACTTCGAGTATTGGGTTTTCTTCATGCTTTTGGGTGTCTGACTTTACTTTTTTCTCAGTTTCTTTTGATGCATCCTCTGCTTTTGCTATTTTTTCTTTTTCTCTCTTTTCGACCTTTTCAGATTCCATTGTTACTTTCTCTTTTTCTACTTCTAGTTTCTTTTCTTCTTTTATATCCGTTGTTAGTGTAACTTCTGTTTCTACTTTACCTTTTACCTCTTCCTTTAGTTGTTGTTCGACTGATAATTTAGCTGATTTTTGTTCAGTTGATACTAATGAGTCAGATGGCTTTAACGGTTCTTTTTCGGCTTTTGGTATTTCTGTTGAGTCTAACTTCTCAGCTTCTTCTTTCTCCATTGACACTTCTGTTTGAACTTCTTCCAGCCTTTTTTCTTCATTATCATGTTTCACTTCAATATCTACCTTTTCTTTCTGTTCAGCTACCAATTCTACTTGGTCGACTTTCTTTGTTTCTTTTTGTTCAGTTTCTGATTTTAATTTTTCTTCATTTACTCTCAGCTTTTGTTCTGCATCTACCTTAGTTTCTTCTTCCACATTCTCCTTTAGAACAGTTTCAGCTTGCTCATTCTTGTTAGATTCTGTGGTTTCTGCTTCCAGTGTGTCTTGTGTATTTTTTTCTGAAACTTCATCTTCTTGAACCTTATCAGCCTTAGTTGCCTGTTTATGCTTTGATTCTATACCAGTTTCTGGCGTTAAAGTTTCTATTTCCTGTTCTGTCTTCGTTTCCGATATCTTTTCCTCAGTTTTCTTAACTAATTCTTTATTCTTATCATCAATTTCAACTTGACCCGGGGCGTCTTTCGGAATGTCTGTGTCTTTAGTTTCTGTAAAACTCTCTATAGATTGTAATCTTGCCTCTGTTTGGTCTTGGATCACTTTATATTCTTGGCTTGTTATAATTTCTTCCTCATCTTTCTTACTCTGTTCTTCCGTGGTAACAGAAACTTTAGAGCTTTGAGTTCCTGATGTTGAAGGACCTTGAACTTCTTCTTAAAGCTTTTCCATGTCTCTATCTTTTGTAGATAGTTCGTCTTCTTCTTCCTGGATTTCTTTACTCAAGTCTTGTTCACTTTCCTTTATTACTTGAACTTTCTCTGATGATAATGGCTCTTGTTTATCCTCTACATATTTTTGAGATTTGTTTCCAGATAACTCTTCTTCAGATATCTTTTGTGGCGTAGCTTCCTGTTCCATGTCAGTCTTGATATCAGAAGTTGAAATCGCAGCCTCAACTTTGGTCTGTTCACCTTGTGTTGTACAAGGTTTATCTACTTCTTGTACTTCTGTACATTTAATGTGATAATCTTGAAGGTCTGTTTCGGCTATAGTTTCGTTAGCTCCAACAGTAGCTAAGGTTGATTCTTTCATTGCAATACTTTCCTCTACATTCATTTCAATACTTTCAGCGTTTTGAATAATCTCATCTTCAACATCTTGTACTTCAGTTTCAGGTAATACTGTTTCTTTACCTAACATACTTAGTGCTTCCAAATTCTGTATAGCTACAATAGCTTGTGCAGCTATTTCATCTACTAATTCGGTAGCTACTTGTTGGATCTCATTTATACCGATCTCCTGAATCATCACAGTTTTGCGTACTTTAGTCTTTTTAGTACTGGTTTCTTCGACAACAGTTTGACTCACAGTGTCCTGTTCTTTATGAGACTTTTCCGTTGCTCCATTTGTCTGAGATATACTAGTATCATCAAATTTCACATCTGACTTTTCTTCAGTAGTCACATTTTTTACTTCTTGCTCTTGGTGTACTTTTTCTAATGAAATATCTTGTTGTTGTAATGGTTCAGGCTCTTGTTTTATAGCTGTTGATTGTTTGCTAATATCAGTTATTTTCATTTTTATTGATTCTGTAACTTTAAGCATTTCAGATGAAATTTGTTTGAATACCGGTATTTTTTCTTTAACCTCTAGAGTTGACTTCGACTCCATGTTTATGAGGCATTTGTTAACGCATTCTATAAGATCGTTTACTTTGTTAACTGTTTCTTCGTCTAATATTGACGCTTTTGGTACCAGTACTTCACAGATATTACTTTTTAACTCTTCTAGTATGATTTTAGTAAACGCTGCATCGCTTGGCAATCTGGCTGTTTTATCTAGATTAATGTAAAATTTGATATCTTCGAAATGATTCAGTACTTTACGAAGTGATTTCGTAAACGATTTCCAACTATTTTGGTCTCCTTTTTCAATATCTAATATTACTGATATATTTTTAATGGATTTTAATAATGTTTCTGACGGTTTACCATAGTTTTCAAACATGTATCTCTTTTGTATGCTTGACATTGTACCTCGCATATTAGATATACTTCCGTAAACAGAGTGAACTGCTGTGAGTATATGATCTCGAGTCTCTGTACTGAGGTTAACTTCAGCCAGTTCTTTTTCTAGCGAGAATACTTTGTCTTCTAACTGGTCAAGAGTTTGAATGACATCAACTCCCTTTTCGATTAAAACCTCAGCGTTGCTTCCAAAACTAAGTTTGAGTGTTTTGATGGTGTCTTTAAGAATATTTAAACTGGTTACTATACTAGCTAAACTTTCATTTTTAATATCAATCTTACAAGCTTGCTCTAAGAGTTCCACTGTTTCATTTGACTCACTGGAACATTTCTCGAGAATGTTTTCATTTTTTACCTCAACTGATAGAGTTTCGGCAGCCTGGACTTCTTGAGTTTCACTCATATTGTTGACAAGTAGCTGTAATGTCGCACAAGCATCTTTAAGTAGTTCTGGCGGACTGTCTTCGTTAATTTGCAACTGCACACTTCTCACGCTGCACTCTAAATCTTCAAGTGTCTCATTTAGGGTATCGTTGGCAGCTCCATCATAATCACATTTCAGTTTAATAATCACCGTCTGTACTTCATCCAAAGCGTTTTGTAAAGCTTCTGTATCTTCAACTTCCCTAACCGTAGGAATATTAATTTTATCCGTCACTTCTTGAAGCAATACTTCTAGTTGTTTCATTGAATTTTTTTCATCGGGAACTTCAACTGAAAATATACAATACGAATAAGTAATAGATCAGTGGCATAGTTAGTGTATACAATTCTCTTATATTTAGGAACACAAACCTGTTTCTGCAGTCTGAAGAACTTCTGGTATTATGACGATGGCCTTTTCCAAATCTTCTTGCAAGTGTGTGATAACTTCAGAAACTTTTTGAAGAGCATCGGGCTTACTCATCGAACCAATATCTTCAGCACTTTCCAAAGCCTTATTGTGTAACGTTACCAAAGCATCTTGTAATTTTTGAGCTAATTTAGCCTGTTCTACTTTAGCATCTTCCACTAAACCGGGCTCCTCACTCACTTCAATTATTTCTATACTTTCTTTCAAAGATTTTGCTAGTTCAATAGACTCTTTAAATTCCTGAGAGTTTGTCAACGCTGAGATGGCAAATACTAAATCTGATGTTTCTTCTGATATGAAGTCGTTAATGTGTTGAACAAGAGCAGTTTTTTCTGTAAATAAATAATGTTATTAAATATAATTGCAAATTATTCTTTAAAAGCTTTACTTTCAGCTGCGAGTATTATGTGCATGTAAAAGTGTGCATGTGGTATGGTGTGTGCGTAATGTAAAGTGTACTGTTTAAATTGCCGATTCTAGTAGCCGAAAATAATATTAAACCGATTTTTTTGTAGTTAATAACTATTCTACTTAATGTCTAAAGAGGTCACGATAATAATATAGAGCGAAGAACATTTTTATTTTAATCAAGCGAAAGGCCTTTATGATATGAATTACGAATGGTGTAAAACTCAAGTGGATAGCTAATTCATAAAATTTACCAGTGTTTTCTACAAAACTATGCATCACAGTATCACGTAAGTTCTTGTCTTTTTCCAGCATTACTGGAGATTGTAAGTTAAGATTAACACTTGCAACAATTAATTTCGAGTCTTGTACCAAATTGTCTTCTTTTATTAATAGATTCACTGGCATACTCTCAGTTAATTCTACATCAGCATACGATTCTATCTGTCTAGAATCGGGAATAGTCATAAAAGTAGCTTCTTTTTCAAAAACAATACACATTTCTTGTGTCGGTGTATGTATTTCTGTTAAAATGTCCGTAGATTTTAAAGAAGACCCGTCTTCTTTAGTTTGTTTATCCAGTAAGGAAACTGATTCTAATATAAAACTATGACTGGTATCACTGACTGCCATACTCCTTAATGACTTTTCTTCATCTTTTACCACAGGTTTTTGGTTACTTTTGCCTGTTTCTATATGAATTTGGGGTGAAAATTCATCGGCTATTGGTGTTAATGGTTCAAAAATTAATGGATGAGAAACTTCAGTACAAACTGATAATTCTGAGGACGAAATTATTGGATTCATTAAAAATGACCTTTCATGAAAGTCATCTATTGATATTGCTGAGTCAAATACGTCGGTTGCGGAACTTAAAACGTCGGCTTCATTAATATTCAAGGTTTCGGACATGGTTTCATGATCAACAGAAAAGATGTCTGAAAGTGCAGATACTAAAGAAACAGCTGCATCAGTTTGAACGTTTTGACGTAATAGAGATTTATCTGCTAATACTTTCTGATCTGTTGCATTTTCAATAGACTGCATAACTTCTGAAAATGTCGATTTATCATTTGGTTGGTCAATAATCGACATGTTTAGATCTTTATCTTTTTCTTCACAGTATGATTCCATTAGCATAGGTTGAATACAGATTTGTTCTTCAGGACCAAGAGTGTCTTCAGTAACAATGTATTTTCCATATTCAATATTTTTGATGGCATCCTCTATAATTTCGTCAATTTGTTCTAGTAACATAAGCGCACCTTCATGACTAAACAGTATTTTCTCATTAGTCTGAAGTTCTGTTGCGTCCGCTGATTCTTGTTTATTTTGTGGTATTATGTTTTCTAGTATCATAGGGTTCGTGTCTTCATTTCTTCCTATTATTTCACTAGCAATGGATATTTGCCCCGTCGCAGAATTGTTGGGTTTATCAAAACCAACACTTGCTAAGCAAATTGGCTCACTTTGCTGACACGCCACAAATTTTTCAGAGTTTTCTGTAGATTGACTTGCACATAATACAATCTCTTTTTCTATTGTAGGGATTGAAGATTCAAGGATAAGAGCTTGTGTGTTCAATAGGTATTTTTTATTAATTTCATCAGAAGTTTTTTCGTAAGAACTGACGTTTAGTACTTCTACTGAAACATTATCTAAAATTGGTGCAACTTCTTCTAAACTTTGCAATTCATTTTCATTGATCGCAATGTTTTCGAATGGTTGTTCCACACGTTTATCAGCTACAGTTTCATTTGTTTCTACTTGCTCTAAAATAATTATTTCAGTTTGAGTAGGCACATTTTTTTCGACAATATCATAGCTAGGTTGCTGCAAAGTGGCAACTAATGGTTCAATATTTGTAATTGGTACTATCATTTCTAATATTACTGGACTTGTAGTTTCGGTTATATTAAGTGGTATTTCATCAATTTGATCCTGAAATTTTTCACTCTGGCAAACTACCATGTTACTTATTTCAATAGGTAACATTGATTCTAAAACAAAAGGTTGCGCATTTTGAGTGTACGCATTTAGTATCTTTAAATTTGGTTCTACGGAAGTTTCGGTAACAGCATTATCAAAACAAGCTGTTTCCGATGCTACAATTTCCTTCTTTTCAGGTGCATTCACCGCCTCTAACTCATTTTCTACATTTGGTATAGCATATTCAAAATTTATTTCTTGTACAGGTGTTAATGACTCCATTTTAGTTGCGAATGTATTAAGTATTTCAAAAATAGGTTCGTCAGATGTTGATGCACACAGTTGCGAAATTTCTTCGAGAGGCATCACTGAGTCTAGAATAAAAGATTCTGAAGTTACTTGTACACTAATAGGTTCTTTAACATTGTCAATGACTTTTAGATCGATATCGGTAATTTTATCATTTTCAAAAACTGCAACGACCTTCTCCAATGTCTCAGTTAGTTGATCTGCAACAAATGGTTTTACTTCTTCGATAGGTGTCAAAGATACTAAGGTCATAGGTGGAGGATCTTGATTTAAGGCAATAGTCATATCACTTTCACTAAAACTACTTTTCACCTCTGATATGTCATCTTGATTAGCTGTTACTGTATCAAATATATTAGAATCAATATCTATAGGTTTCACCGATTCTTCATTCATTATCTCACAGTTTTCACAAGGTACAACGATCTCAGGTCTCTCATAATCTTCAGTTAAAATTGAAGCTATTGTTTCATTTGGTTCAGCTTGTTCTAGAGAAGTTGGTTCGTTTTCAAGTACTACTAGCACTTTTTCCGTTGTTTTATTCAATTGGTCTGCGATGATTGGTTTCACTTCTTCCATAGGTATCAAGGAACCCAAGATCATGGGTGGAGAATCTTGACTGACATTATTTTTCACTTCTAATGAAATTTCGTCTTGACCAGCTGTTACTGTTACCATGTCAGGTTTATCAGAACAAATATCTATAGGCTTAACTGATTCTTCGACCATTATATAACAGCTTTCGCAAGGTACCACGGTATCAGGTCTATCACTATCTTCAGTTAAAATAGTAGCTTGAGTTTCATATGCCATAACTTGCTCCAAAACAATTGGTTCATTTTCAAGAACTGCAACGACCTTCTCTGATTTGTCAGATATTTGATCTGCGACAAAAGGTTTTACTTCCTCGGTAGCTGTCAAAGAAATCAGGGTCATAGGTGGAGAATCTTGACTTACAACATTTACCATATCACTTTCACTAACACTACTTTTCACTTCTAGTGAGAAATCATTTTGCGAGGCTGATACTGTATCAGATGTATTGAAATCAATCTCTATAGGTTTCATCGATTCTTCAATCATTATCTCACAGCTTTCGCAAGGGACAATGGTCTTAGGTCTCTGGTGATCTTCAGTTAAAATTAAAGTTTTTATGTCAGTTCGTTCAGTCTGCTCTAGAACAAGTGGTTCATTAACAAGTACTGCCAAAACTTTCTCTGGTGTATCGATAAGTTCCTCTGCGAGTATCAGTTTAATTTCTTCAATTGGTGTCAAGGAACCCAATATCATGGGAGGAGAATCTTGATTGATACTATTATTTACTTCAAATGCAAAGGCATTGTTACCCGCTATTACTCCGTCAGGTTTATCAGAATGAGTCTCCATAGGTTTTATCGATTCTTCTACCATTATCTCGCAGCTTTCGCAAGGTATCACGGCATCAGTTCTATGAGAATCTTCAGTTAAATTATTAGCTTGAGTATCAATTGTCCCAGCTTGCTCTAGAAGAATGAGTTTGGTTTCAAGAATGGCGACGTTTTTCTCTGGTATTTCTGTTTTTTGGTCTGCAAAGGTTGGTTTAATTTCCTCAGCAGGTGACAAAGATCTTAAAGTCATAGGCGGAGAGTTTTGACTTAATTTTTTTGCCGTATTACCTGTACCTGAATTTTCATTGATAATTTCACATTTAATAGAAACAGTTTCTTCGTCTTGTACCACACTTTCAGCATCCAATTTTTGAATTGCAGCGTCTTTCGGTTCTATTTCTTCAAATGTTACACACTCATGAAGCAAAGGTTCGCAAAATTCTCTTGCTTCATTGAAAACTAAATTTGATGTTTCGTCAATTATGTAATACGTTTCATCAATCATATTGTAAAATACTCCCGGTTCTATTTCTTGTGTAGGAATAGTTTTCTCTACCAATTTAGATTCAGATTGAGCAGCAGCTACAGGATTTTCAAGTTCATTAGAGGCAAGATGATGTATAATCGTAGGTTCATTTAAACTATAAGTATCTGTCAATGTAATAGTTTCAATTACGTTAATGTTCATGTCTTGTTTTTTGTCATCAATACCTTCCTCGACTTTAATCGGTTTAGATAAAGACTCGAACTTTTCTACGTTTCGTGTAGATTCCAGTGAAATTTGTATGTTATCGTCTATTATACCTTGTGTTTGTTGTTTGGAAGATACGTCCTCTAATGTCCTTTCGAGGCTTTCAGAGGGTGTGTCTGAAAATATGTAATTACAATTTTATTGTCTTTAAATTATTGTGTATTTGACTAGTCAGAGCGAAAGCGTTAATTTTCCGGAATACTATATATAACAATAAAATACAAATACCGACCATGAAATTAGCTAACTACAACCTGTTTCGAGAAATTTAGTAATATAGTTACGTTTTTATTATTGAAGTTTATTTAATATTATTTGCCTTTACAGAAGATATGGTCACCAATAGTATTAGCATATTTGCGTGTACAGCACTAGATTTGGTTATTTTTTTATTAAATCTAACTACAACGCCAGTAAATTGTTATTGAAATTATCGTGTATCTTTTACCATTTACACCCTGTATAATTTGAGACTCATTGCAAACCCACTCTGATTCGTTTTCATTGTATTCCTCAATGATAGTCCTTGAGATAGTTTGTATTACTTTTTCTTCATCAGTCAAATTCAATTCTTGTTCTTGTCTACTTTCTGATTTAAATGTAAAAGCATCAGTATTTGTTCCACTGTCTTTCACTGGATCTAAGACTTTTACATCATCTTTGGTACTTTTCTCAGCTGTAACCTCAAATATTTGAGTATCTAATTGTTTTTCGACATTAATATGGCCTATATTATTGTCGGATTTTTCATTTTTATTATCTAATACTATTTCATCTTTTAAGCTTGTTAAAATTTCGAAACTAGATGTTTTTATAGGTTCGGTACATTCTACGTCGTCAGCTTTGAGATTTTCATTGGCTTGCTTAATTGATTCTGAAATACATATTTTAGTTTTATTTACGCTTGTTTGTTATAAGTATTTGTTATATTCAAGGTTATTGGCCAACAGAATTGCGATTTATAAAATTAACGAAGGTACTTCTAAGTTTTTGGAATTAATCAAATTGTTTGACTATTTGCCAATAGCCTATAACTAGCTATGGTTTAACTAACATAGAAAAAGAAGCCAAATCATTTAGTTGATTAATTGTAATAATAGTTTGCGCTATATTTAGATTTTGCATTAATTTACCGGAATTAATGAACAAATGCGTATCTTCTTTTATTTGCAACATTTGCATTTCTTCCGAAGACCTTTTTATTGATGCTTCAAATGGAACATTGCCTACTACTGGATGAACAACAGACATGTCAGAAATAAGCAACTTGAGTGTCGTTGGCAAATCTTCATTTAAAACATCGCCTACTACCGGAATCATTATCGTTTTAGCAGATTCTATAAGTAATGTTTCTAATATCTCGCTGCAAGATGCTGTCGCGGTATTTAGTTCCACATCGTGTAGGTCCCTGGTTTGCTCGTCTGATGCAGGAACATTGTCTGTGGTATTGTTTATAAATGTGTTAGCATCTGCATTTGACTGATTAAGTGGAATCTGCGACGTTACAGTTTCAGTTGTCTCATATTTGTTTAGGGCTTGAGCATTAGGATCGGGTTCAGACTCTTCCACATGTGTTTCATTAGGTATATCTATACATTCATCATCCTGATGCATTGAGCTTGATAGAAATGCATCGAGTTGGCTGGCAAACGACTCCGCTACATCGAGAATTTTGTGTATTGCTTCTTTGCTGATTATTGGATTTGGTTGTTCTACACTCTCTAGTACTACTAGTTGTAAAGTCAGTAAGGAACTATTTAAGTCTTGAACTAATTGTGCTTGGTTATTGCCTGGCTTTATTTGACTAGTATCTAGACTATTGTGAAGTTCTTGGGCTAATTCTAAGGATTGAGAAAGTTCTGTGTTGTTAGACGTCTCTGACAATTTTTTGACTACACTGGCTATTTCATCGGACAAAAATTTATCAATGGTCTGTGTAAGGGTGTCTGTAAAAAATCATAGAGATTATATTTTTACGGGAATATATGAATAAGTTCTTAAATATTTATTGTTTTATAGTAGCTACATACTTATGTTATTCAAATAAAAAATTATTCTTTTAGTAATACGCGCAAAATTACTGTTATGTTAATTATTTTTTGTTTATGTTTAGGCGTATTATATAAAATAATTCTAAAGTTTTGTTGAATACATCTTACTCTTTATTATTCTATAATTCAGTTATAACATGAAGCTTTTCTACTAACTACCTTGATAAATAATGTTTAATTAATATTCGTCATTTAACTACGACACAATATGAAAATATTGTAATTTTATTGAGTTGTATTCGTGTTTTTGGTTGTGAAGTGTTAATGTGATTAACTTTTGATTAATTAAATCAAAATATTTACATGACAACTGCTATGAGCATGTAGCATTAGGTGTTTTTGTAATTAAGCAAAATGCTACAAATGAAATGTGTGGAAATGTAATTCTAGGTAAAGAGTAAAAAATATAAATATTTTTGTAAAAATTTTTAACAAAAAAGTATTTATTATATTGGTATCATAATAATACCAGACCTAGTTATTGAAAAAATATAAATACAATGGATTTAAAAATAAAGTTCAGCTTTTTGAAGAACACGTACAAATATTTTTTCTATCAAATAATTTTACAAATATTTGAAAAAATATTCAAATGTAAGGCACACAAACGGAAATACCTAAATAAAATCTCCCGATCGATTTCGATCATGGTGGCAAGTCTAACTAGACTAGCCCTTACACCCTTAACACCCTTGTGCACTATAACATCTTCTGCGTTTCTACGCCGAAACATACATTCTCTGTTCCTTGAACTCTCACTGAACCGCATGCGATGGAAGAATCATATCAAAACGGCAGGTAGGTACTTTCAAAACGGTAAATGAATGAGTTATGTATTGCAGTCATTACTGTGTATGAATGTATAAAAGAAACTCTCGGTATTGCACCTCGTTGAAATTAAAAAAAGAACAACTATATCCCACACTAAGATTTTGTTCCTTGCCGTGAATATATACAAAATTCAGATACAGTGTTTTCAAAACATATTACAGTGATATGAACACTGTATCAACGCTAGAAATTAGTCATTAAAGTGTTTAATGATTAATTATTTCAAAGATGAATTGGTAAAAAATACTTGTATGTTATTTCTATTTATAGTCAACAGCTATTAAATGTTAACTGCACAGTATGAAATATACCAGACATTGTTTAATTTTAACCAAACGACATTCGACGCCGTTGTTTATTTGAGAAACGTACACATTTGTCTGGAAAATAGACAAATCTCAATACGACTATTGGGAAGCCTGTTTAGATTAACTGATCGGTAGAAAGTTTAGACTTAATTTGATTCATTAATACTTTTCCACTACCATATTTCCAGTGCAGAGAAGTTATAATAGTTTTCACTAGGTCACTATTAGTCTAAAATCTATCATCAATGCATTTATATTTTATTCATAAAAACATGTTCGTGTTTGAAGCAATTAAAATGAATGAACAAATCAAACATACATTCTCTGTTCCTTGAACTCTCACTGAACCGCATGCGATGGAAGAATCATATCAAAACGGCAGGTAGGTACTTTCAAAACGGTAAATGAATGAGTTATGTATTGCAGTCATTACTGTGTATGAATGTATAAAAGAAACTCTCGGTATTGCACCTCGTTGAAATTAAAAAAAGAACAACTATATCCCACACTAAGATTTTGTTCCTTGCCGTGAATATATACAAAATTCAGATACAGTGTTTTCAAAACATATTACAGTGATATGAACACTGTATCAACGCTAGAAATTAGTCATTAAAGTGTTTAATGATTAATTATTTCAAAGATGAATTGGTAAAAAATACTTGTATGTTATTTCTATTTATAGTCAACAGCTATTAAATGTTAACTGCACAGTATGAAATATACCAGACATTGTTTAATTTTAACCAAACGACATTCGACGCCGTTGTTTATTTGAGAAACGTACACATTTGTCTGGAAAATAGACAAATCTCAATACGACTATTGGGAAGCCTGTTTAGATTAACTGATCGGTAGAAAGTTTAGACTTAATTTGATTCATTAATACTTTTCCACTACCATATTTCCAGTGCAGAGAAGTTATAATAGTTTTCACTAGGTCACTATTAGTCTAAAATCTATCATCAATGCATTTATATTTTATTCATAAAAACATGTTCGTGTTTGAAGCAATTAAAATGAATGAACAAATTAACTTGATTCCATACTGTGCTATTTTGAGTTTGGCGTAACAAAAGCTTTTCTACGAAATTAAACAAAGTGTTAATATTAGCGTTATAATATTTATTAAATTACCGAGAGCAATCATTGTTGGTTGTTGTTCAGCTTCCCTTTGAAGTGATTTTGAGGTTGTATCACTGATTGCGATTGTATCTTCAGCATCCGTTGACTGGAGTTTATCAGATTTAATAACTTCTTTGTCTGTGATAGATTTGCTTTCACGAGTTTGTACTACTACTTCAGGACCTTCTTTTACTTGTTGATCTTGAGGTGTTAGTGTTACTAATTTCTCTAATTCTTCTACCTCTGATTGTTTCACTTCTGGAGGATTTTCTGAGGACTGTACACCCTCAATTATCAGGGATTCTATCTGCTCAGGTTTGGCATCCATAATGTCTTGTTCAACTACTTCTGCAGTTGTGGCTGGGATTGTAGCAGTTGTCGAAATAGCTTGCATAACTTCTTCTTGCTTAAGTTCCGAAACAGCCTCATTTGTTAGTGGTATATCATCAGTAACTGGAATTACGTCTGATGTTTGTTTTTCAGCTGACTTGGCCTCAGAACCTGATAATTGTTCGATAGTTTCTTGAGTTCCATCAATTAGTTGCTGCTGAGTCTCTTGCGCAACCTCTATTTTAGGAGACTGCGTATTCTCATTAGTCAGATTATATGTCGTTTGTGGTTTGATACTATCCATTTCTTGCTGTAACATATTTTGTTCTTCAATTTGAGACATCTTACTTTCTTCTACAGATTGAGTCAGAGTTGTATCAGATGACAAAGGTTTGTCTAATTCAGTTTGTTCTTCAACCAGTATGGTCTCTGAAGCTGGTGATTGTTTGTTAGCCTCAAGTACTGGACTTTCATCAGTTAGTTGCTGTTGGGATTCTAGTACAACTTTTTTGCCGAACTCTTCTAACTCTGGTTGCCTTATTTCTATGGCCTTATCAGAAATCTGCGTGCTTTCATTAGCCAGACTATCTATCGTTTCTGTCTTCATACGTTCAATTTCTTGTTCTATTGGTTTTTGTTCTTCAATTTGAGATGAGTTATTTTCTATTGCAGGTAGACCCAGAACTATATCAGATGATAAAGGTTTGTCTAAGTCAATAAGTTCTTCAGCCAATTTGGAGTCAGATGTAGGTAGTTGATCATTAGGCTTAGTATCTTCATTATCATCAGTCAGTTGTGGATTAGATTCTATTCCAATTTCTTTGTCAAACTCTTTTAGTCCTGCTTGTTTAAATTCTACCGCAGTATCAGTAATAAGTTCACTTTCAATAGACAGTGCTTCTGTATTTTCTGGTTTAATTTCTTCTCCTAGTAATTTTTGTTCTAAAAGCTCCATGTCAGTTGTAAGTTTTTGATCTTCAGAGTTCAGTATTTCCGACAATATTTCAATAACATCTGTAGGTTGAGCAAGTACTGTATCAGTTGTAGAAGTTTTAACAGTGCCCTCTTCATTATTTATTACCGCTTGTGTTACTCCAGGCTCTGTCCCAGAAATTGGTGTTTCCTCGAGCATTGATTCAGATACTAGTGTTTGAGGCTTAGTTTCTTCTACTATTTTAAGACCTTCATCGACTGGTTGTGCTGCCAAGGGTTCAGGTAATTCAGGTTGTTGGTCTAGTGAATCCACCATATTTTCTGTTAACGTAACCACGTTTTCCTCCCCTAAAACCTGCGACTGTACTATATCTGAGCTTGTAACAGAATCGAGAATTTCTTCCGGATTTGAAACTGTTTCACTTACCGTTGCCGTTCCTTTAGCTATAGAATCATTTTGAGGTTCCTGCTCTTCGCAGACTACCTTTACAGATGGCTTTACTTCTGTTACAGGCTCAACTTGTGATGTTTCTGTTACTTTAGCAGTTTCAATAATTGTTTTCAAAATTGTGGCACTCGCAATTTGTTTTTCTTCAGCATCAGTCGGAAGAAGTTTATCGATGTCAGTCTGTTCCAAAATTTTTGATGTTTCGATCGCAGAAGCCGATATTGCATCGGTTGATTCGATTTCTTTCACGATTTTAGAGGAGTCATCAGGCTGCTTGTGTGATATTTGTGTACTATCAGCTTTTTCTTCTTCTTGTTTGGTTTCTTCTATATATTCAGAAGGCTTATACATATCAATAACGTATTGTTCAAGCTTTTCTGGTTCACTGATTTGTTGTTCTATAGGACCTTTTGCTTCTTTGACTACTTGTTCCGTAATAGAAGCAATTAATTTGTCGTCTTCTATAGAAGGTTGTGCTTCATCAATCTTTTTTCTTACATTAGTTATTTCTTGCTGCAAAACTGCCTCATCTGGTTTCTCTTCCTCCTTAGTAATTAAAACAACCTGTTCTGTGACTTCAGAAATTACGGTTTCAGTAGCGTTTTTAGCTTGGGTCGATGTAGGATTTTCCGTGTCAATATTAATTACCTTCGGTGTGAGACCAGATTTATCTTCTATCGATATGGTTTCATTTATCATAACAGGTAGTTCAGATAATTCTTCAGAAATGTCACCTTTTTGCATTAGTTTATCCTGTATCACTTCAATATGCTCAGTAACCCGTGATTCTGAATCTTTAGATTGTTCCTCATTGGCGGTAGAATGTAATGTTATAGATTTATGAATAGACTCAGCTTCTTTCAATGTCTGTTGACTTTCTTCCACTGATTCATTAAGTATATCAGTAATTTTCGCTACAGTCTGAACTTCATCTTCTCCAGCATTCTTCAATTGTTCTTCAGTTACAACAGGAACAACACCTTCTAAACTTTTATCTTGTTTGGAAATATCCTTTTCATCAGCAGTAGCTGTGTTTACGACCATAGTCTCTTCAACTATAACGTGATCATCTGAAGAATATTGTTGTTTAGGAACTTGAGAGATAACAACTGCAATTGCTGATGCTAAGTCAGTGCCAGAAGCAATAACTCGTTCTAACTTATCTTTTTCCACTACTAGACTTAGCTCATTGGTAGCGTCTAAAGAAAGTACTTGCACTACAGATAGAGCGTTTTGAAGTTTGAGAAGATTATCTATATTATCTGAAGTAATGTTTTCGTTGATATTTTCAATATTTTTACGTAAATCACACGCGACAACTACCGATTGTTTTAACTCGCCAACAGTCACGATTGCAGATATTTGATCGATAGTTTTAATGTTTTCGTCTGAGAGGAATTCAATGATGTTTTGTAACAGTGTTTCTGAAAATATGTAATATCATGTAATGCCAAAATTATTATTTGGATTTGTGTTAGTGTAGAAATAGAAAGTTTTACCTAAGAGAAGAGGTTCAAATTTTAACTTACAGTAAGTTTTATACTTCAATTTCCATCTTTCTCTTTACAACGTAAGTTTAATCTTATTTCAGAACATTATTATTGTTTTAAGCAACTTCAAAATCTGTAAGATGTAGCATTTAGCGTACACATACAGATACAAAATAGAGTAAAAGGTACTGTATAAGCAAAAAATGTTATACTTATTAAATTCAAAACACAAAAAAGATATAGAATCTTAGTTGAATATAAAATATGGTTTATTCGTAATAGTAAAGTAATAAATGGATATTTGTCGTATCAAAAAAAAGGGAAACATTTAGTAGATTTAAATTAATATTATAAGAATTACCTGTAGCTGGTTTTTCGAGAGGTTCTTCTATTATTATTGCTGCATGTTCTACCGACACAGCTTTAACTTCAATTGGTACTTCAAAAATAGGTTCCCCATCTGTAACAGCTATTGCTTTATCGAGTTCATTGTTAATTTCGTTAGGCGCGGCAATCTCGGTATTATCTCCTATTTCCGTTTCCTGAATTAATTGCTGTCCTTCAGCAATTGCAGCTTTGTCTTCAATCAAAATTAATTCTGCAGCAACTTCACTGGATGCACTTAGAACTTCTTTCTCAATAGAAGATACTTCACCAGCTTCAAACTCAGAAACCTCAACTTGAGCGACATTGGTGTTAATTTGATCAGGTTTCGCGTCTTTAGTATGATCAAGAATGTATTGAGTTGCAGTTACTGCCACCAGGTCAGTTCGAAGATTTTCAGTGACTGCGGTTACACGTTGTAACGCAACTTTGTTGATTAAAGTGCCTTCAGCTGCAGTTTCTAATGACATATTTTCAAGACCCGACAGAGCTTTATATAGTTTTTGAGCTAAACTTGCATACTGTGTACTAACTTCATCCTTTAGAACATCACTTGTTTCTGCTTTTAATTCGACTTCAGAAGCAATGATGTTCTCACGCAGTTCTTTAGCAATACCAATTGATTGTTTGAATTCTTCAACATCAATGACGTTCGATAGCTCATTTATCACTTCTGTTAAATCATCAGATATAAATTGATCTATATGCTGAACTAACATTTCTGGAAAGGAATAGAATTTATTAGCAGTGAATTATTAATTGTTGTTATATGAATATGCTCAATCACAAACAAATATATGTTACCTATGGTTGCCTTAGGAGCTTCGTGTATCTCTGCTGTTTGAGTTGGTTCATCATCAGCTAGCTTATTCTCGTCAACTTCATGCAGCTCTGGTCCAAGATTTTCAACGACAACAGCACTCACGGACTCCGTTTTCAACGGCTCAGTAATTTTTACTTCTTGAACTTGATCTGCTTCAGATACATTTAACTTTGCATCTTCTTTGGGAACTTCTTTCACTGCAACGGATTCAGTTTGTTCAATGACTACAGCTTCTATGCCTTCAACAGCTAAAGCTTGTTCGGTTTCAGGTACAATATTCTCAGTTACTGTTCCCACTGATATGGGTTTAACTTCTTCTGAGGTGACGACTTCCTTAGTCTCAGCAATTGTCTTACTCAACATTTCTGTAGTTACAACTAATTGCTCCGAAGGTGATAATTGGTCAACTACTCCGGTTTGTTCTAGAATAGTTGACTCGGATCCCTCAGCTGCTGTTGCTAATTCTGAGGTGGCTGCGGCAGAGTGGTCTTCCACAGATTCAATGGCTTTAACATTCTCATCTATAGATTCATGAGGTGCTTGTACTGCTACTCGGATACCAGTAACAGCAACTAAGTCTGCTTGTAATTGAGCAGTAACTTGAGCAATCCGCTGCAAAACTTCCGTACTAATTTCAGGTGCTAATTCTTGAGCACGTTCAAAGACTTGAACTTGTAATGCAGACAGTGCTGTTTGAAGTTTCTTTGCTAACTTATTTTGTTCTTGACGAACTTCTGTAATTTTTTCATGACTTATCTCTCCTTCCGCAATCATTTCCGATGTTACAATACTCTCTCGAAGCTCTTTGGCAATATTCTTGGTTTCTTTTATGTCATCAATTTTAATGATAGCAGATATTTCTTCAACTATTTCGATCAACTCTATATATTGATCAATATGCTGAATAATTTGTTTAGCTTTTTCTGAAAATTTAATATACACAAGTTATTTTGAGATTGCAATATTGAAAATTAAAATGTGAAGCATTTTGAAATTAACTCAAATCTTTGAAAGTTAAAGGCCTTTATTTTTCATACATGAAGATTAAGTTACTATATTGATATAAATGATTTATTTAAAATGTCTGGCTGTCGTCGTGACATGAAATGTTATTTAAACTTTTGTTTAGGACATTTATAATACCCTCGCTTTCGCGTAACGGTAGCGTTTGTACAAAGCTTTGATTAAAAATTTCACCAAGCCAAATTATTGACATCCACTTAACTTTACCTTTTTTTATTTCTTTATTTTCCAAAATATCAATTTTCTTCAACTCGACCAAGAGCTGATAAGCCGCAAGAAATACTTGCTTCATGTTTTTAATTTCAAATTGATTCTTTCCAATGAACATATCTGTACTTTGCCAATCGAATTTCGACATAATAGCTTTAAGAGAGTTTATTTTTTTGTTTTTTATTTCGATTATTTTTGAGTAGGCCAACTCTTCTTGGTTAAGTGCCAATAGTCCTTGTAGTTCAGATGCAATTGTTAAACTTTCATTTAAATCGGCATCAGAAAACGTACCAGATGCGACCAATAAATCCATTTCGATATTTATGAAACGGTCTATTGCTCTTTCCAAAGAATCAATATTCGAATTGACATCTATAAAAAATTTTGATAATAACTTTCAATAAAAACTACATCCTTCTAGTATGTAAATTATAAAAAAAAAAACACTAGTTCTATAATTCACTAATTACCTCTAGTGATTGGTGTGGCTTCGCTGTAGCAAATGTTTAACGTAGCAAGAGATCAAGTGCAACGCTACTTAATTTTACATACCAACTTTGTCATTTTAAAAGAATTTGTAGTGAACAGAACAATAAATAAATGCAAAATTTAAAATTGAGGAGCCTTGCAGTATTTGGGCGTAAGTATTACAAAAATATATGAAATATAAATTATAATATTACCTGTGGGAAGTTTATCTTCACTGCAAATGTTAGCTTTATCTGAACTCAAAATTACATGCATAGACTTTTCAATATCTTCCACGGGTTTTGTAATTTGTTTTACAACCTGGGCTACATGGACGCCTTCAATGGAACGCAAGCTGTCATTTATAGAGTGTATCTCTTTGTCTACTTCCATGATGAGGGCTATCTCTTCATTGGCAATAGCTTCCTCCGTTTCCATCCTCTCCATCATTTCTTTGTGTTTTTCTGTCATAGTTTGAACCAGAGACTCTGTAGTCGTTATGTCGACTGATATTGAGTCTTCGTCAACACCTTTAAGTACTTGTTCTTGAACATTTGTTAATTGATTATGTAGCGCTTGGAGTGGCTCCAACATTTCCGTTAAAACTGCTTTCAGAGGACCTTCCTCTAATTTGTGTTTTGGTATTTTAACTTCTAACAATTCTTCTTGTAAAATATCCGTACAGTCAGACAAACATTTGAGTACTATCAATGCTTTGCCTGTACCACTTGCATCTTTATAGTCATTGTGTTTCTCGATACAATTTGAAACTTTATCAAGTATCTCTTTAGTAATGATATCTTTATTATTCTTTTTCAGTACTTCTACGTGCGTTGCAAATTCCTCAATCATTTTAGGTAAAGTATTATCTTCAAGCACATCAGTTTTCGGGCGTCTGATTTCATCGAGAATGTCAGCTTGTACAAATTGTAAAGATGGTTTAGCAGTCTCTAAAATTTGAACAAACTTGTTTACAGTTTCAATAATTTGCTCATCATGTTTTGTTTCTTTTACTGCTTGAAGTATTAGAGCAGAATTCTCAAACTTAGATAAAGGAGCATCGATCAAAAGGCTTGATTGAGATTTGATGATTTTTTCAAGACAAGTTCGAACATTTTGTAAGTAATCTTCAGCGTGGATAAGGAATGTAGCCAAGCATCCATTCACATCATCTGTCAAGTTTAATTCAGATTTTTTTATTTTAAAGTCGTTAATTGTACATTGCAAAGAGTTTAATTGTTGCAGTAATCTAATTATCTTTTTGTGAGATGTAGCTTTAGTTATAAGACAGCGCATGATGGTAAATTCACTTTTACAGGTCTTATAGAAGTCTTCTACAATCATCTGGTCAGCAATTGGCATATCTTGCGTAGAATCTTGCACAACGTTCACAGCACTGTCTACTATATCTTCCATTAGCATCAAAGAGTCAGATTCGATTTCAGCTGCCATTTGTGGAGAAGTGCAAGTCAAGTCTGATACACGAGAAAGGTCCACAAAATCATATTGTTCCAATACTGCGATATTGTTTTGGACTTCATCAATGGTTTGTATTAATTTCGCTTCTTGTGCAACCTTTTCTGGAGCTTGTGGAGTAAATTGAATAAGCTCCTCTTGCACTGCGCCCACTTTTTCGTATAATTCTTCTGCAATACACTTAACTTGATCAATTTTGATTCCTTTAGAAACATCAGTGGCATCTAATAAACTTTCTACTGTCCGTTCTAAAGCTTTGACCTCTTCTGGGACAGCAGTTTGCTCATCGCCTTTGGTAGTCTCAATAATGTCTTTTAAATGCTCACAAACTTCCCTCAATGCACCGACTTTATTTGCTATTTCGACAGTACTATCAGCAGTATGCATAGCAGGGAACATAGCGAGCATACACTTATCTAAATGCTCTTTAAATTCAGATACGTTCTGAATCACGGAATGTATTCTTTCCGTCGGCATTTCTAATAAATTTTCATAAATTGGAATGTTACTTGTGTCTAACACCGACAAACTTTGTTGTAGCTCCTGCATTGGTTCAGCAATAGCCATGAGTTTTGAAGGATTTATTAAATTAGTTATCTCATTAGATCCTTCCATAAGAAGGGGATGTAGTACTTCTTCAATTCCAGAGTGAAGTTCACCTAAACCTATAACAAATGATTTCAAGCTAGAATAATCACTAACTTCTGATAACGTGTCCAGCGCATCAATAATTTCTGGGTTTTGTAAAACAGTGATGTGTTCATTCAACGTTTGTAGCGCTTGAGCTGTAGCCGTTGTTTGCAATTCTTGATTGAATGGCAGAATTGTCTGTCCCACAGCGGTCTCTTCGGTAGCTGGTAGCACCAAACGATCAGATGCAATAGTTTCTGCAGTTGTCTTTATTCCTGATATATCTTCTAGAGTGGACATCTCATCTACCACTTCTACACCCGCTTGTTCCTGTATCATCACTATACAACTTTGCAGATTTTGAACTGCACTAGCCATGTTGACGCTGACGTCATACGGTACAACATCTTCACCGTATTGAGAAATTACATCCTGCTGTAAGATTTCTAATGTTGTATGTAATTCGTGAAGAGGTTCAGCGATTGTACTCATTATTTCACTGTTTTGCTTAAGATTTTCAATATTTTCAATTATTTGATGATTTAAGACAATAAGGTTTTGATTTAATTCACAAAGTGGTGTAGCAAAGGTTTGGGCAAACGATGAAATATCTGAAAAATCAGAAATATGTTCTTCATCTATTCCATCAGCTTTAGTAGTGGCAACACTTCTTTTGAGTTCTTCTAAAACGGGACAAATGCTTTCCAATGTAGGAGCAATGCTTGTCTTTAAGTCTTGAGTCGACTCTATGGCCTTTATATTTTCAATGGCTGCTATTGCATGATCAATATGTTCGATAACAATTTTAGCTTTGGTTTCGTTGTACTTATGAGAAGCAATATCTTGAACGTGCTCGGAATCAATTTGCACACTAGTTTCTTCGGCTGTATTTATACATTCTTGTATTCCAACTAAGGTATCAGCAATGTTTGTAAGAAGAGCACAATTGAGCTCAGAATCAAATACGTTTGTAATGAATTGATCTTGGATTATTCTTAAGGTATTGTTAAGGCTAGCTAAAGGCAAAACATTATCAGCATCAAGGCTCTTAATAGAAGCATTAATTCTATTCACAGCATCACAGATTTCCATGAGAGTAAAGTATTTTTTAGATTCGTTATTTTCTATTACATTTTCTAATACTTTGGTTAAGTTTTTATGGAACACAGTCATATGATTCTTAACTTCTGGCATGGATTCCAGTTTTGGTAGATTGTTTTCTAATGCGATAAGAATTTGCGCCATTTTTTGTAATGCATCTAACTTGTTTTCACTTTGTAAAATATCAAAAGTGCCTACTTTGTTTTCAAAAACTTCTATTTGAGATGATATTTTATTGAGATTCTCTGTTATTGACGCCACTGCTTGTTTCAGAACGGCTTTATCTCCGTCTTCAGATTCCGTGGATAGTTGTTCAAAAGAATTTCTCAATTTAACAATAGATTCCATAACTGTTTCAATAATTTCAGTATTGTATTTATGTAAAGACGTAGTTGATTCTTTTACTGATAGTGTTTCGATTTGCTCCAAAGCTGTTTGCAGATCTTGTATAGATGCAGACATATCATTGAGTATGACTTCGCTATTGCGAACTTTAGCAATATCTACAATTTTTCCACTATCAGCACTTTCAGCTATGCAGAGAAGAGACATAAGAGGACTTTTTAGTTCAAATACCGCTTTTTGCGTATCTCTGAGATGTTTTACTTCTTGAGAAGGTTCGTCAACTTTTATTTCACTGGCTTCGCTTAACAAGTTGCGAGCTTTTATGGTGTCTGCCGAGAATTTAATAACAGTATTCATTTCATTATTCAATGATTCAATTTCTGTTAGAATTTTGTCTTCAGTTAGTAGGTAATCTGTAGCAGTTACCGAATTTATATCTGATATAATTTTTTGCACTTCACTGCCACAAGTTTCAATAAATGCAACACAAGTTTTTTTGACAAGAGTTTTACTGTCACTTTCCATATCTATACATTTTTCAATGATAGTTAGTGATTGCTGGAGAGATTTAAGTGGCTGGGGCAAGCTATTGAATAATGTACTGCTGACTTCCTTAGACTCTGAAACTGACTCTTTAGCAGCATCTGTGATACTATGTATTTCCGACAAGGGGGATATTAGACTACTAATAATTTCTAAACTTCTAGAAGCAGTTGCAGCTGACGACATGAGTTCTGATTTAAGTATTATATCCCTTTCAATTATTTGAACATCATTTATTACTTTCGACAATGAGGCACTAACGTCGATCATTTTGTTTTTAAATTCATCATCAGTTAATTTAGGTTTCGTCGGTACTTCCATTTCTATGGATTCTTTCTTCCTTAAAGCTTCTTCTCTCGATTTACTTACAGACTTCTCGCTGCCAGAGCTAGATCTCCTGGAGCTACGGCTTGTGCGACGCTCTCTTTTAGATTTTACAACAGGAGACGGCTCAGCATCCAAAGAGTGTTTCATAGCTTCATCCTTAAGTAGAATAGTTTTCGTTGGTTCTGAGGATTCTTGACCATCTTCTCCGGATGGTTTTGATGATTTTGATTTTGGTTTGCCAGAACTGTGTGCACTAGCAAAGCTTTGTAGATCAGATATTGCTTGAGTATCGTCATCTTTCTTTTCTTCTGACAATGATTGGTCACGAGACAAGCTGAAGAAGTCATCAGCGCTTCTTTGGGAATCTGACTTTTTTCTTCCGAATTTAAGAGATAAATCTGACTTTTCTTCTGAAAGTAATGCCATTGTTTTTTCCAAATAATCTTCTCCACCAATTTCTATATCTTGATCGAGTGATAGTTGAGGAGGACCGTTCTCATCTGCTATCGAAATATCATCGATGTCAGCTTCTGTACGCATATCTTCATCAGGAGATACAAAATATTCTGGCGAAACATCAATAATCACCGCTTCCATTAATAAATTACCAGATGTAGACGTTTCTTTTACAAATCGTAATGGAGGAAGTTCAACTACATTATGTTCAGTAATATTTTCTGATAGTTGATCGGCGTACATTTCTACAATTTGTAAGGCTTCTTCTTCTGTCAAATCAGGAGTTTCATAAAGAGAAACAGACACTTCTTTGCCATCAAATGAGAAAGAAATTTCGCCTTTGTCGTCGAGGGTGGTGACGTCACCAACGGGTGTATCATACATCTGTGAGGTTCTTTCTTCGTGAATTGTACTAAGAGACAAGTTTCTTTGTAAAGCTTGTTCTTCTGCTTTCTTCTTTTTAGCTTTCATCGAATCGTCAAATCCTAAAAGCGAGGCAGAACTAGCGGCAATGCCCATACAATTCTGCGCTTCACAAGTGTAAGTTCCCAGGCAACAAGTGCCGTCTTGTCCTGATATAATTCTGTGAATGTCACCAGGTTTTAATTCCTCACCATCTTTGTACCATTTAAGGACAGGTTGTGGGACACCGATGACCTTACATTCAAGGTTCACCGCACCTTCATCAGATAGTATGGCTTGAAGATTCTCTAAGAATCTGGGTTTCTTATAATGTCTAGGTATGATCAATTTAAGGAAACATGAGGTGACGCTGTGTCCAAAATCGTTCATGGCCACACATTTCCACTCGGCTTGGTCGAGGAATTCGAGACTTTGGATGTCCAGGTAGAACACTCCACGGTCTTCCCGGCCGTGATGGCATCGAGATGACTCGTCCACCGGCTGGTCGTCTCGGTACCAAAGTACCGACGGTTCAGGCGGAATGGCGACTGAAACAAATTATTATTTGTTATTTCCATTTATATTTCTCATTGAGTAATAAGCAAACCAAACCAATAGTAACAAACCCCACCTTTAACTGTAAAACGGAATGGCTCATCAATTTTCGCTTCAACGCTCTTCAAACCCTGAATGAACTTCGGAGCCTGGTTCTTGGAGAATAGTTGTAGCTTCTCTTCTTCGTTTAGCTGGTTCTGAATGTCCTCCACGGTTAGTTCAGCAGAGCTACTGGCTTGTCCCATGCAGTTCCTTGCAATACAGCAGTAGGATCCTAAGGAGTTGGTGCCTGTGAGTTGGTATACATCTCCTGGCTTTAACTCCTGACCATCCTTGAACCAGCTTAGGACTGGAGTGGGGAAGCCCACAACTTTACATTCGAAGGACACGAGGCCTTCTTCTGTCAGCACTGCTTGTAAGTTCTCCATGAATCTCGGCTTTCGATAATTTTTGGGTACTGTAAAGCGAAGAGATTGAATTAATTAATAAATTAGTTAATATACAAAAATAAAGTTTTTTATCTGATTGACTGACTGATATATCAAAGTACAGCCCAAGCCTCGGGACGGATCGGGTTGAAATTTGGCATACAAGTAGATGTTATGACGTAGGTATCCGCTTAGAAAGGATTTTAATTCCACCCCCAAGAGGATAAAATAGGGGATGAAACTTAGTCAATTTTAAACCGATCCAGCAGAGACTTTGCATGCATAAAGCTACTATGACGTAGGCATCGTACGTACGGGATACGTAGGGGATAAAAATTGTTAAAATCTTTTTACATTATCGACTGATTAAACTGAAATTAAAGATTGGAGCAACTATAATGAAGCGATGCTGCTTCAATAGCATTATAACCGTAAATTTAACCCCATAGGGATAAAATAAGTGATGATAGGTGATTATTTTTTTAAAACAAACAAAAAAAAAATAGTTCTAAATGTCGACAATAGATTTAGGATCTCAACCAGTCTTCTCAACCACAAAATTGATTTAAATGAGGTACAGACATAGTTTGAGACTTAGGACTCAAAAAGGACGTGGGTTAGTTTAAATTTTGGCCCTGAAATTCCCCAGGAATGGGAATAAGGCCGGTAAAAACCCGGAATTCTTTATGTTATAAACTACTAAATTGATTTGAATAACTATTCGTCAATATCCTGGAACTCTATCTTTTGAACCATTGCATTGAATCTATTGAGTTAAATTCGGTAAAACGATAGTTTCAAACTCGAGAAACGATATATGATGGTTTTTATCCCGGATAACCCACGGGAACGAGATAGATGCATTACAGCCCCGGGACTCTCTATCTTTTAAACCGCTGAACTTATTTTAGAGAGATTCTGTACAACAATAGTCGATAGAATAGTTTTTATCACTAACACCCTAAGGGAACGGGCATTATACTGGTCATTATACTACTCTGCGGAATTATTAATATTTTGAAACCACGATAGTTAATTCATTTCGCAATAATTCTCACTTTGACACTGAATCGATTCTGGTGTCGGTTGTTACAGCCGTAGAATATAGCTTGGAAAAGACTAAGTCTATGACTCAAATTGTGCCAGGAGTAATTATTCTATGCGGACGTAGTCATTGTTTTTTTTTTCAAAAACCCCATTTAGCCATCAGTTCATTCACAAAAGGACACGATGTTACATAACGTAGTGTAAATAGTTTTACCATCCATGGTAACGTAGCAGGTGGAGATCCCGATGCGACCACCAGTGCTGGTGGCCACGCACTTCCATTCTCCCTCGTCCGGCCACTCAGCACTCGGCACTTCCAGCAGATACCCGCCAGCACCGTCTTCCAAAACATGGTACCTTAAAAAACAGAAAAGAAAATTATTTAATATTATATAACAAATATCAATATCAACAGATGGAAACAGCAGCATTGCTTAAACCTTTTGAATGTCATTGAAAAGTCAAAAAGTCTCAATTACAGTGCACGTTCCTTAAAATAACATCAAGGAACGTATTATGTATCGCCTACAATTCCCCATATAAATATACCGTGAAATATGGGGGCGAGTATAACCACACTGCACCGGCTAACCTCCACTAAAAATATTCGGAAAACTATAAAAATAAGTATTGTAAACTTTAAGTGTGGGAGAGCCATGCTTCTGCACGAATAGCTCGTCTTGACTGACTAGTTATACCATGGACTCACATAACACCGCCGTAAAAAACCGCTTGCGTTGGGTTTCGACGTAAAACAATGGTGACGTGTGCAGTAACGGAAAGTATTTTTTGAAAATTGACGTGGGAATGCATCGAGATTTGTATCGCAGTGGACAAAGGACTTACTTTGCTTGGCTATTGAGAAGAACCAAAGAAGAAAGAAATAAATAAGCACTAATGATCCAAGGATGTGTGGCAAAGGAGTTGCACGGACGCTATTATCGGGCTCTATATGGGCCACATACGTTTCAGTAACTTATTTGGAGAAACGGAAGGTTTTGTCTGTGCAATTATGGACGAAGTTATATTGATGAACAATTATCGATGATAAAGCATTTTACTGTTGACATTGGTCGAGCATGTCATCGTCTCTAGGCATCCATTCGTCATATAATTTCGGGTTTTTCTCATCTAGCTGACGGTGACTACATGCATAGACACAATATTGTAGCCAGGAATATTCATCAATAACTTGCTTTGAAATACAAACTTGTTGAATTTGAAGTGCCATGTGAGGATCCGGAGCAGGTCTCTTTTAGAGGATCCAGTGCCAATGGACGCGGTGCCTCCATTCAGCTGTTGAGGCTGGTGTCACCGGGGTGGTTTTAGTGAGGTAAAAATCCCACAATCCCAAGTCTTTTATCCCCAAAAAGGTTAAGCGAATTGTTTACATTATCTACAATAGTTTTGCACTAACCGTAGACTGTCCTTTTTTTGCTTTGCTAGTGCATACAGTGATAGGCGCAGCGATAGTGGTTTGTTGCCCATTCCGTTTAGATTAGAGTTGTACCTCTATAAACGGCATCTGTGGGTTGGCTTCGGGCCCGCGTACGCCTCCCAAATGAACCTACTGGGACCCTTTGGTCCCGTAGGTGGTAAAGACATACATTATAACAATAACATATACTTTAGGCAAACCTAGCCCAAAACCTCATCTATCTCAACAGTTATGCTTAGGAACAGATATTCCACCAGTAATACAGTCAATACTATTGAGGTATCAAAGCAACTGACCCATTTCTAATACAAACCTAGGTACCACCAAACTATATATTCGAGCTTCGAATACCACCAAAGAAAACTGTTTGTGACTTCTTCACATCAAAACGGCTGAAGCGATAAAGATAAAATTTTGGAAAAATATTAGTTAATTGTGGTCTGCAATAACACATATTGGAAGTACGAACCACACCTAAAATAAATTGACAAGGTGCTGCTCTACAACCTTCTGTTAAAGGCGTCCAGTATCCAGATTCCCCTTTAATTTTCCTAATCAATAGTGTCTGAGAATGTGTGTACGGAATTTGATTACACATTCCATGTGATCACCGGTGTCGTTTTTAAAACGAAAATCTGAACGGTGTAGACAGATCGTACAGGTTTGCAGACAATGGTTAAAGTAAGGGTATAGTTTTGAAAGATTATTTTTTGTCACTGTTTACTGAATACGAAAAGGTAAAAATATGAAAATGAAAAAAAGTGTTACTTTACTGTAACCTATTTACAGAAATAAATATCATTTCGTTTCATTTAATTTAATAAATGCATCTTATACAAGCTCAAACAGAAGGTAGTTATCGTTTAAGAACCGTTTAAGAGTTCCCTTAACAATAACATTTCTTTATCATCAGATCCTCAATAACACTCTGACTCCATCTAGGTGTGAAGTTCTAACCGCTTGGTTACCGCCATACACATGGTACTTACTATAAACCTATGAGGAGATCCCTCAAAGGTCCGTCAGCTCTATCATCAGGTCGACTCCAAACTCTTATTAAATTGTAGTGTTTAAAAATCTTAAAAATAAAAGCGGAGTAATCGGTGAACATTCAAAATTAAAACAATTATCCGAACATAGTACATTCTACTTTTTTTAATTCGGTAAAAATTAAGACCAATAACTGCAAATTACTCCACGACCACTGTACTTAATAAATAAAACAGCGAGTGTTCCTAACTGTTCACAGCCTTTTGTTGTTAATTGTGCTCAGTATATTTAAGATACTAGCGAAAAATGCTACCTTTATCAAGCAACATTCCATAAGCAAAAAACGTTCTTAGAACAGGTTTAATAGTTATGAAAATATTTACATTTTAATAAAAAAGTTGTTTTTAATAAAATGCTCACTAAATCATGAAGATTTTACTAACAATGTGTTTATTGTAAATAATTCTATAAGTAGCATTTTGTTAGAATTTTAATAAAATTTCATATTTTAACGGGCAGAACAGTTTGTGGAATTTTACTCTTTACATTTTGTTTTTATAGCATAAGCCGGTAAACGAGCAGACGGATCACCTAATGGTAAGCAATCGGCACTGCCCATGGACACTCGAAACACCAGTGCGTTACCGGCCTTTTGGGAATTGGGAATTTGAGGATTGTGGAGGATTAGGGGAATTGGGAGACGGGGACTGAGGAGGGGGGTAATTGGGCCTCCAGTAACCTCACTCACACAACGAAACACAACGCAAGCGTTGCTTCACGTCGGTTTTCTGTGAGGCCGTGGTATCACTTCGGTCGATCCGGCCCATTCGTGGCGAAGCATGGCTCTCCCACACTTAAAAAATAAAATTGCATCTGTCATCAGTAAATTACTATACATATATGCATACATATAATAAGTACATGTAATATAAATATTTTTTGCCTATATATATATATGAACATAGCTCCTGAACTAAGGTTAGACAGCGCAAGATTTGTTACGACAAAATAAAATGAGAATTTCATTGGAATATTCAGGAAATGACATCAATAACTGCTCGCCTCAGCCTCACGCCGGGAATGAAATCAAATTAATTTGTAACTATTACCATTCTTCTACATCTGATATAAGATTAGGTGTTTAGTGATTTGATCCGTGGTATGACAGAACTCATACATTCGAGAGGTTAAACATTCCAGCTCTATATAGAAGAATCGAAGACCTACGTAGCTATTAAATTATAATTTTTTCAACATTAAATATTATATCGTATGATATTCTATTTTATAACTATGAAGTGCAGCTCATTCGTCATGTAAACATAAGTTGTGTCAGATGTACAGTTCTTTTGCGCTTTTGAAGATATTCGTATAAATCAAAATTGAACAGTTATAAATATTTCCGATGAGATATTTCCGATGAAATATTTGTAACAGTTCAATTTGATCAATTGATGAAATATTTTTAACTGTTCAATTTCATCAAATATTTCATCGGAAATATTTGCTCGCTTTTGTAGACCGTCAAATCTATTTCGTTTTCGACCCACGGTAAAAGCTTGCCATAAGGAGTACTTTTGATGTATAAAGTAAAAACAAAGAAATAATAAAATTGATTTTTTTTATTTAGAAATTAAAAAAATATCATCGAAATATGCACATACATGAAACACTAGATTATGATGATGATGATGAAGATGTAGGCACTATACGCATCGCACGTGCCACCCGACGAGACATACCTCATAGTACGTTTTTATAAAGTACTATGAGTTCGTATTCGCTTTCGACGTTTGCTTTTAGTAATGGTTTACCAGTTAAATGACAATGACCAAATTTGTATGGAGCGTGGTGCCTTTTAATTTTTTCGCGGCAGTTGATCGGATGTGGAAAAACTGATGCAAAATAACATTACAAACAAAAAAATAT